ATATTTCAAGTCTTTCATTGACAGATTAACTACTGCTAATAACCAAAGATTTTAATCATAACTCCACAACTAATATTTTGTTTGGTTACTCAGGAATTTTTATAGGTAAGTGCAAAATTTGAACCTAGATTTTTATACAGTTGGACCTTAAATATGCTCAAATGCCTAATTAATCAAATTGTAGAAGTGTGACTACAATAGCAAAGTTAGGACTGTATCATCAGGCTCTCAAAGCAGAGGATGAGAGTCATCTCAAGAAGGCAATTGGAACCCAAAGTTACAGGGGACAAGCATGACAAACTGTTTTCACAAGCTTATAAACCAGTCTTTAATTACAGAAATTGAAAAGGTAAGCTTAACTGTGTTGACACAAAGGATATGGAAGGCCACAGTCTGAATGCTTTTTGCTGTTTTAATGTAAACTCTTGGTATTATCCTCTACTCATGTATATGGAAGCAAATTTACAAAGAACCTTCACCACTTGTGCTTACAAAATAAAGACACTTTTTCCACATACCAGAGAACATAACATGTAAGGATGCCACGTTAAGCCATGGCTTTTAAATAGTATAGAATAGAAACATTAATCTTTTCAAAAATTGTTTAGGACAGATGTGAAGTCATAGATACTGGCTGACTTTTTATCAGGACTTTGATTAAATGTGATGGAATAACTTTGCTATTGATGTTTTAACTTATATTTGCATGTATAAGGATTTTCTGGAAGACATGCATGGTCATCAGTTGTCCCTCATCATTCCCTATGTAACAGCATAAGGTAATAGCATAGGAAGGACAGAATTACAGTTAAAATACTCGATTCTCTTAAAATAAATTAACCTGCAAACATAAACTACCTCACAACAACTTTCATTGTTCCACAACTTGATATGCTACACCCCAAAAAAAGGAATGGGATGGAAGGGATTAGGATACAAGTAATTAGGAAAGCAACAGTATAAATATCAGACAGATAAAAATGCATGTGTGTATATACACATATTACATAGGCACACACAAATACATACATACGAGACAGCAATTAACATACTTAAATACCTATGTACAGCACAACCGCAAAGCTGCACGAACTGCAGCCAGTAACTGTTAACACTGAAAGTTGCTTGAAACTTTGGGGAAGTAATTAACCTCCTGGCCCTCAGTTTTCAAGCTCAAGGAGCAGACCATAGAATTTCTTTTACAATTTATGAACAAGCCAAGGAATTTATATCACAGTCAGAGGATTCTTTTGCCGAATTAACCCCAGCTCCCTCTGACCCTGAGAAGTCATAAAGCAACAGGATACAGCAGAGGGAGAATGTGCTATAGTGTTTCAGCTGACCTACAGAGCGCTGTCTCTGTCATGCCAAGGCTGGAAACCCAAATGATGAATTACAGAGCAATACGCTAGGTTCAGATGCAAACATCAACCCCTTCCCTCTATACATGCACATGCAGACATGTTCACTCACCCCAAACCAGCTCAGTTTCTGCAAAAGGCCAAGTACTGTTAGGGCTCATTTACAGAGTCTTACTCTAAGATAAAAGAGGGAAGAAAATTGCTTATTGACGAAGCATGCGTACATCTGTGAGTAACAATATTTAAGAACACATGCTGCGTATTAAATAAAAGCCCAAAACCCATGGAGCTTCCCTTTTGTATATGGATTATTAAGCATATCAAAAATACAATTCCAAAGCACAACCAGGAGGGTACCCAAGAACCTCGGCTTTCATAAAAGACAACTTTATAAATAAAAAAAGGATAAAATTGATACACAACTATCTTTAAAAGAACTCAGCCTGGCTTTATTTTCCAAATGCAGAACAAAGCCTCTTATACAAAGTAGCTAATAAAACAAAGTCTAGCTGACCATGTGCACAGAAAATGGGATGACACAAACATCTGCACCAGGACCTCAAACCTAATCAGGTGTAATACTAAGACATGAAGGTCTTTCACAATATTTACACTTATGGTGTACCACTTAGTTGCACCAAAAGCTTAGCCCCAGCTGAAGGCTTATTCACAAAGATGAATCATCTCTTGGAAAATGGACAGTGGCTGGTTGTTTCACTTCCAGCTCAGAATGAAAAGTGATACTTTGATGTCTGACCAAAAAAAAAAAAAAAAAAAGAGAGAGAGAGAGAGGGAAAAAAGGAGGGCACAGTTTTGAATTGATTAATTTGAAACTACAGAATTTAATAGATACCAAGAGCATGAAGTATTCAACACTGCAACATTTAGAAACCAAACGTCCATCACTGAATAAGATAAGTTTGTGGTTCCACTGTTTGATGAACTGAAAATTTCTTACTGCTCAGAAATTCTCTGAAAAGTTGTCAAGGATTTTCACAATGCAGTGAACTTTATTATGAAAAGCCATCAAGTGAGTACTGAACCTTTTTTGGTACTGTTTGCAGATGGCACTGATTCCCTTCACCAACTACCCTTACTTTCTATGGAAATGATGCAAGCTACTTCTCAGAAAGCTATGCTTCCTCAGGCCCACTCAACGTTGGACAATTTCCTCACAGCAAAGGATGTGGATCACAAAATCCTCCACCAAAAATGTAAATGACATCACAATAGAAGCTAGACTGAAAGAAAAAAGGTCATTTATCACAGGTCATTATGAATTAACTTAGCATGGCATTTTTCCTGAATTAGTAACTCTCTTTAAAATGAGTGCTTCTAGCTTTTTAGGTAAAGAAAGAGACGTTGAAAGTTTCCTTCCTTCTGCAGTGTTATTCCTTCATAAATTGATTTCACACTGAGTATTCGTGTAATTCCAACCTGTATCATCTCCTGGCAAGGCAGTTTCTCCCACCATATTTAATTTACAAATGTACTGGAAATCTTCAGTGCCCTTCTACTTCAGGTAAATTCAAAATTTCATAGTTTACTGTTTCTCGTATAATAGTGGCTACAAATTTTGCAAGGCTGTACAGTCAAGGTTAGAGGTCTCTGGTGTGTGGCTTCATGAAACTCACCTTAGCCTAACTCCTAAATTTATGAAAGTCTGCTTGAGGGATCTGAAACATTAAATGTAACTGGTAGCAGCACATGTGTGAAAAGCATTTTCACTCGGACAGCTATAAAGCATTTTCCCAAGAGCAATCTGCACTATCAACTTGAAAAACTAGGGCCTTTCTTCTCTGTGCAAAATGATGCATAACATCGATAGTACACAGAAAACATGCCTAAAGTTTAATGGAAGGGCCTGTGAAATAAGAAAAACCAAAAGCACCACACTAGTAAATGCAATAAAGTGGACTTGCCTGAAAAAAGACCTGGAATGTGAATCCAGAGATTTTAATGAAGAATCAGAGTAACATTTTGACATTCCTTGAAGCATTGGGAAGAAAAAGAAAAAAACCATGAAAGCCTAGTATACCAAAATACCAGAAAATTAAAGGGTAATGTAGTTCCTCAAGGGATGGCAAGGTTAAGAAATATCCATAATTAAAACAGCAAAATAACTTCATGAAAAAAGTTAACACAGATTAGAGATGGAGATAGTCATATTCCTAGAAGTCTAGACTGATGTGCTGAGTGACTAACTAACAATACCACTGAATTGCTGCCCTTTACTCCTCTCAACCTGATTCATTAAAGTACAGCCCAGGTGGATAAGTGGTTTGTCCTTCCAAAAAGCACAGTCCCCAGGGGTTCTCCAAATCCTCCTACCACATGCTGAGTGTTGGGGGTTTTTTCTTCCTCTTCTCTACATCTTCAGGAAGTCAAAAAAAGAATAGAAACCCACAGCTTACAGAAGACTGAAAAGAAAGAACAGGTGAGATTGTGCAGGAAGGCCTTTGAAAGGAGTTGATAAGGTGCGGTTTTGGAAGAAAGAACAAGAATAAAGAGGAGGAATGGACAGAACTGCTGCACTGTAATTCTGGGTCTTGCCAGCTTTGATCTTCAGTGGCTTTTGCATCTATAATTATACAGTATACGTGAACCACCTGAGCAGAATGCATATACACAGGCTTCTATGTGTATGTTCTTACACAGCTGCTATGAGGGATAAACGTTCCAAACATGTAATTCAGTAAAGAATAAGAACTAAAAGCCAATTTTAGCTTTTTATGCTGACTGCAGAACCAGGATAAAAATTTGCTAGTGTCTATAGCAGTCAAATCCAAAAATCACAATATATCAAAACCTAGTAAAACCTGTAATCTTAACAGGTGGTCTTGATAGACTGAAGTGATTAAGACTGTTCCAAACACAGTAGAAAGCCAAATGATTAGAAACATGAATTCTGTCATCTCCCTGCAAACCAAATTCGCTTATGCAAAGTGAATGGAATGTCGTAGGAAGGCTATTTGTTAACTGATGCTTTGACTGCCAAAGGCAAATCTATACCATTACATGTTAGAAACAAACTATTACAAAGAAACCCCTTTCAGTTGCCTGCCACTTATTTGAATGAAAGCGTAAGCTCACAAAATGAAACCTATCAACTTGACTAAATTATTTTCAGTGTGTTTACAGAAACACATATATAAATAACATGATAGGGAAACACAATCTGGGTGGCAATATAAAATAAGTTACATAACGCAGAGCCAGGAATATTAGGTGATCAGCAGAATGAGTCAGATGTTGCAACAGAAAATAAATTTTGTGTTGAAGCATACTCAAGGTAGAACAGTCTCATTTGGGTAACATGCAGGTTGTGATAAGGTCAGAAAATATTCGTATGGAATCAGAGTTTCAAAACACCTTAGCAGCCACAGAGATGAATGAACTCGTATATACATATAACTATTCATATATATATACACACACACATGCACTCTCATACATAATTACGGCTGAGAATAGAATCTGCTTTTACACATTAAGCAGGTAAAATGTCTGAAAAAGATGCTGTGTTAGGCCTACCTGTAAATTTGCATTTCTGTTTGTAGACAAATAGTAGACATACTTAGAAACCTTGTTATATATTTAGAAAGCCTTCTCTGTTCATTACAATAAACAACACTGTACCTGTATGGCTTCGAATATGAACTCTCAGGGTTCCATTGCTCGCAAACTTCTGTCCGCAATATGGGCAAATCTTCTCTTTTTCTCCTGTGTGAGTCTGCATGGGATGGGGCAAGACAAGAACAAAAGCTTCAGCATAGCTTTAAAAGTGAAATATGGAACATTTTAACTGTCTTGACGTTGACCACTAATGTCTCCACTATATATTTTATACCATCACATCACGCAGAGATTCTAAGGAATTAGCTATAGGTGTTCTTTCAATTTTTTTCTAAAATTTCTAAACAAATCTCACTATTAATGGCAAATCAAACTGGCTTTTCAGTTCCTAAATTTACTATTTCCTAAATAGCTACTATTAAAAATCCTCAATTCCTTTTGTGTATTTTCATGATTGCGAGAACAAGACACCTATTTTTCAGTTTGATATCTGTGATGGTGGTTTCTAAACCAGCAAACAATAATTTGCTTATGTAATAAAATTAATCCTCATAAATGGGTTTATTTTTAAAAGCTTGTAATTTCACAGAATTTTATTACATTATGAAATGTAGTGAAAACAGTTTACCTAACCTAGTATAACTTTTTCTTTTGCAAACTTGAACTGGAGCTTTAAAAGGTCTCTATGGAGATTTGTGCATGTGATTTCTGACTGCCTCCTATGAAGAGAACACAGCCATCATTTCATCTGAAGTATGACAGACAACAATCCTTCAAAGTGCAAGTTCTCAGTGATTTCAGTCAACACAAACTGCATACTGGATTCTACTGAGTTTATAATAAATGCTGGAATCAGACTGCATTTAAAGAAGTCTGATCACAAAAAGTATATTGTAATTGTCACTACACTAAATCATACACTGAGCCTGTCTTTTCAAATCAAGCTTTTAAGGCTAGAGTGCCTTGTTAATATAAGAATTATTTCAAAATAGAAAAAAAAATAATCACAAACTCTCCCATCCAATCTGTGTGGTCAACAGCAAGATCAACTTGTAGTTACATACACAGATTCTCATCATTTTTTACACTGCACTTTCAATGCCCAATTCTGAACTGAAGTTTTATCAGCCTATTGAATAACTTTTCTTTACAACTGTGACTGCTCTTTTAGCAGAGAATTTTGGATTACTTCATTTAAGTGTTAACTTCATTTAAATGGATAGGAAAGATTAAATTATATGTACAGCTGACAATTTGTGTTTCAAGCTTTGCACAACTCTCTTCAGATAGGGAAATTAATTCTTATTTTTATGTAAGACATTGAAGTGATATAAGGTTTTCATGATGTAACGAACAATTTTATCTCACATAGTACATATTATGCTGCAGCTGAGGGAAGAATAAATGAGATAATTTCAATACTGGACAGACTTGCATAGTTTTCATTCCCTAACATTAGGGATATGAACATTAAATCCCTCTTGATTGGGATAAAATTCTTTAGAAATCACTTATATCTCTAACAGAAACATTGCAGGATACCAGACAGACAGCTTTTAATTCATTCCAAACAACAACAGAAAAAAAAGGACTTCTGGGAGCAATATAACTACATGCAGTACAACTACAAGGCTCACTACAGCGAGTCCTAGTCTGACAGCAGCACAAACCAATAGCAACTGCAATTAAGAAGGAATATCAAAGAAAGAATGCAATACAATAAACAATAGCTGTTTTCCATTAAAACACAAATACACATGTGTATATGACCATTTTTAACATGAAATAGTAAGTCATACTGAATTTTTTAGAAAGGAATCTGAGGAATAGAAGTTTAAAAATTTATGTAGAGCTGATCAATGATTCCAGGTAATATTTTTGATTTTTGGATCTCATGATCCATCTTGGCAAGATCCTTCACAAAAAGTTAATCTGAGCTCAATGTATCAGTATTATAGGCTAGGTCTGTTACTCAAGTGATTAAAACAAGTAGATAAGGATGAAAAGGGTCATGTGTCTGAAAAGCAGTCTGTTTTTCCCGAACCATTCAGTTTGGCTAATGAAAGACATCATGCCTTCCTAAAGTCTTACTCCCCAAGAACACAATTAGAAACCAATTGCAAGTTTATTTTGTATACCCCTTGAGTTCCTTAGATCAATATACTCAGGCTTGAAAAACAAAGGTGCTTTAATACTCCTCATTCTAAAAGTAACAGAAGAGAGGAAGAGTATCCTATAATATAAAGTACTCTCTCTATTACAGCAAAACTCAACTGATTTCACTGGCTGAACGACAACTGATGAAACAGGTTATTTGAATCTCAATCCTCTTATAGCACATGTACTGAAATCTACAAACAAGACAACCCCATGTCATTCTAATTCTTCTCAAGTACAGGTGACAATCTTCCACTGAGTGTATGAGAGAAATACGTCTTGGTTATACAGTTATGTCACTCAATCAAAACAAACTTTATTTTCTAGCAACTATAATTACTAAGTAACTTAATGCATATTAAATATGAGACAAGCAGCATTTAGAATAGACCGTAGACAAAGACAGACAGCAAATGCATTAACATACATTTAATGGAAGATCAAGACCTTTAAAAGACAACAAAAGAAACCAAAGAGACTTTGTTCCTACTTGGTTCCATCATTGTTTGCAACCTGAAAACATATTAAAAGTCAAACACATACTAAGGAGGCAGTGCTGTCCATTACATCAGAGAATTCAATACTCTGCTGTCTGACAATAACTTAATTGAGACTCCAAAGACATGTGCTAGTTCCCACACCTGTAAGATACAGTAGGGTCAGAGAGACATTGAAAGACTCCTTTACATTTTTTTTCCTCAATTTTAAATACAGATTTGTGTTGTAATGCACAGTAGCCACCATAATCACGTGCTGAAAATATTGTACCAAATAACTCAGTTGCACTCAGTTTTGTTATTACAATTTTACATGCATATATGAAGTACATACTATATGGCAGATAATATATGCATGATGTTTTTCAACAAACTCTCACCATCTGTATTTGGTGGCAGCTCTCAGCTGATTTGTTCTTGATTCAATTATTTTCTTCACATTTCTTCCCTGTAACATAAATCTTACCTCAGGCCAAACTAGCGAGCAACCTTTCTTCTAAAGTTTACCCCAAGTCCATTGCAGAGATCAGTGGAAAGGAGTGTGGTAAGAGCAACACAGCAAGTCCCATCCTGCTACACACCTGCACTGGAGTACCTACACTCAACATATAACTATGCACCTGCTGCAGATTCTGCATGCCATCAATAACCCCACTATTGCAATACGCATTTTAGAACATGAAGCCCTGTCACAGCTTTCTACTGAAATGCCAGAATTGGAGAAGCATTTTATGCTCAGTCACAACCTTAAGGGCACAGAAGGAATGAATATGATAGAACTGATACTCACTTTTTTATGACTCTTCAGGACTGAGGGTGTCACAAAAGCTTTGTCACAGAGATCACACTTGTATTTCTTATGTCCATCATGTACAACTTGAATATGAACATTTAACGTGTCCTTTCTTTTGAAAGTAGCATCACAATGATCACACTTGAAGGTCCTCTCACCTTATACAGAGAAAAACAAGGTGTAAAGATATCAGATTTTTGTGGAAATACACTAATGCTTATTGTTTCAGAAAAATTAATGAAAGCAACAAAGATAAATGAAGAGCTGGGTCCTGAGAACAGAAAGAAATATTACACCAGGTAAAAACGTCATTGGGAAATTAAGATAGTCATCACAACAACAGAGCCAGAAATACGAAATTATAACTAAAGGTGAAATAGCAACCAGTTGAAATGGCTTCCAGTGAAACAGAGCACAGGTTTTATCAGCACCTCGATTAACGGACTCTCTTCATAGTAACAAGCAAAAAGATGAAATAGGCTTCATTTTTTGAAACTTAAATGTAAGAGACATCTTCCTCAATTTAAAAGAAGTGTCAAAACAAGAAATACTTGCTTTGAGTAACCTATCTCATTCACACCAATAGAGGCCAACTAATATGACAATTAAGTGTTATAGCGGTATTACTATTCAAACTGTGGTGATGTGGTTGAAGGTTATGGCAGAGGCCAGGTTAATACTGCTAACAGTTTTAAAATTCAGTGAATTACCTAAGATAGGGGAAAAGACATTGTATTCTGAAAATCTGCATACATTTTATGAGAGAATAAAAAAAAGGGGACGTGATTCTTCAGAAAAATCATTACAATGAACCTTCTCTACACTACTGTGAGAAATAGAAGAGAATATTCTCTTCTATTTGTTAACTTCTTGACTAAAATTACAAGTTAAATGTCTGCAACATGGCACTCATTGAGAAATCCACAGTGTATACTGGAAATCAGGTGCCCATATCCCAAAGAAAGATCACCATAATCTAAGGACAATCGTCCACTTCTTTTCAGGACAGAGGTCTGATCTGCAGCCTCCTGATCCATATCAATAAGGTACACACTTGTATAAGCACAAGCTACTTTTTCCAGTAGCAATTATGCACACATAGACGTACACTTATTGCCTTGCTATAGCTCATTAAAGGATAAAATCATCCCCGCCTTGGTCCCAGTGCAAAGGTCAACGTGAATGGAAATTCACGTTGCTGCTTATTAAAGTCCATATGATACTACCTATTGAGGCACAAGCTTTTTTATTATATACATAATACATATAAGTGAAATTTATCAATACGGTGCTGCCTCAAGTACCCACAGACATTCCAAAGCCTAGATAACCTGTTTCTCTCCTGCATAAACCAACCATAACTAACCTCCCCAAAACCTCTCATTCTCTGTTGGGTTTGGAAACAAAAATGCTTTTGTCTTGGATGACACAAGAAGAATATGCTAAAAGTTATTAGGGCGTGAGTTGTCTTATCCTAGAATACTTTCAGTATTTCCAGTAGCTATTAGGAAAAATTTTCAAGGTCAACAGGGACACAATTTAATAGGCTGTTATGTGGGGTTAAACACTGATACCACTTCTAACCATTCAATAATCACTTCAGTCCTTCTCTCAGGAACATGAGACTACACTGCTAACAAAGTGAAGTCATTACTATTTTTACTAAAATAATGTGCAATTTTCTATTGCTTCAACAAAGGAAAAATATTCAAGTAATTTCTTTTGAAAGTTACTTCTTATAAGAACTTCTAGGCTTCACGGATTTATTTTTTTTAGGTAGTCATTTGTTTCTTTCTGTCTCTTTTAATAACTTAGCTCTGAATCTGAAAATAAATTGAACAAAAAATGAAGCAATACCAGACACAATTTGAAACTGCCATGTCTTCTGAAGAAATATTTGTATGCTTTCCATAAATTTACATGATATCATTATGGTTTAAGATAAGATTCAACATTTGCTGAGTGTCAGGAGGATTTGTCCTTTTTATCCTACAGTTTTGTTTGCAATCATTCCTATCATTTTTAGTACTATTATCACTTAAGATAAATGACTTTCAAGCAACAATAAAAAATAAGGTAGTGAAAGATCACCCAGTTTTCACATTAGAAAACCTCCAAAGTCAGGGAATTTCAGAACTAACATACTGCTCAACCACATCTCCTCTGTGTGTACATGTTATAATAGTCTTCAACTCTATATAGTTTCAATGCCAAGAATGTATTTAGCCAAGTCCTGGTTACAGTTTAGCAATTTTTTTTTCAACATGCAAAGTAATGGGAAGCTTAGAATTAGGTATTTTTTCAAATGTTATCCTGGATGAAGTGCCCACTTCTGGCAAGCCCTGTAGAAGGAATATTTCTCTTACTAACAAACATTCTGAATGTAGATTATTACTCTGGAAAGCAAATATATTAAAAGGATGATGTCCTTCCCAACAAATGCAATCCCATTTAATGCATGTCTCCACAATCCTAGTCAACTGAATGATCCAACCAAAAATGCTTAGGGTTACTCATTCTTGTTAGCTAGGTCTCTTATGGCCTCAGGAGCCAGTGTTAGCCAAGTATGAGCTACCATACACTTATGTATCATACATCCTTCCTAAACACTACAGCTGAGAATAAAAGGTTAGCTCCAGCATTGCCAATGACATAATGAGAACAGAGATACTAAAAGTATTACAGCAGCATGCGTAAGAAAAAGCTTGTCTGACTCTCAGAAGCCAAGTTATGTTTACACAGCTAGAACCTGGGAGGAAAAAAAAAATAGTTTGTTTTTTTTTTCTTTGTTAGACATATTTGATCTTGAATTTTGAAAGTTATATTCATGATGCCTTTTCCAATTTCAAGACAGGAAGTTTCAAGCTTCATAATTTTTTCTTTCCTACAGCACAGTAAAGCTAACAGCTAACTACATCTAAAGATTGTTTTGTATTTCTCCTTTCTTTATAGCAATAGGTATATTTCAGTGCTATGAGAGGGACTATGATCTAGCTGTAGCAGGACAATGCCTGTAATTCTGAGTTATCTCAAATATGAGAAACTCATTACCATGGCAGCCCAAGCTGTCAGCCTCAGAGTTCGGTCGTGAAGGGAAGAGTTCTATATTTCTTCACTAGGAACACAAGCTCTTCTCAGACAACAGCAGAGCCCCTTGTTTTAATCACAGCCTTGAACGGAAAACTGTTTATTCTTCAGTTCATCCTAGTAATGAGTTTCACTTTTCATTTTGCTATTGGTCTGTCAACAGTTCTTTTATAGGACTACAGACAAGAGAGATGCAGTATGACCATAAAAGCTTTACTTATATTCTGCTGTATTAAGGTGTCCTTGTTAAGTTAGGCGGTTGTTGGTGTCTTTCTCCAAGGTAAGAAAAAAAAAAAAAAAGGTTTAAAAATCTTCCCTGTGATTAACAAAAATACCAAACATGATTGATTTAAGGCTTCACTCATTTTGGAGATAGTTTTAGCTAAGATGGCAGAAGTTACCACCTTCAAGCACCTACTCTGTCCCTCAGCAAAACATAGTCTTCCTTGGTGCAAAAGACGACAACTAGATAATGTCTGTGCTACTGCAGTTAACAGTGATATATTTAATGTTTGCTTAAATAGCGGTGGTTCAGGAACAGCTAAACCTGCTACAAATGACAAGCCTAACTCAAAGACCTCAAATTTCCTGAGCTCACATCCTCTTGAAAAAAAAATCAAAGTATATGTTTTTAGAGACCTTTACCAAGGCCTACAATTCTGTCTACTGTGAATTACTGCTTTTGGATATCCTGCAAATCCTTGGTTCATTAGAATACACAGCTTTTTAACTTTTCCCCAGCATCATTTTCAACATTTAACATTGGAAAAAAAAAATTTACAAAATTCAATGCTTTGTGAAATTGCAGAAGCTTTTGAAAGATAATTGTAAAAGATCAAACTAAACACACCAGTCTACTAATTTATCTAACAGGAACAGCATTATGCTGGATTAAAAAAAAGTTTGTGGGTTTTTTTAATCATACCAACGTAAATATTTTCCAAATCAAAGCACTGTCTTCTAAGCTACAAGGATTTTAGACCATGATATTTGCTAAAATCTAAATTGCTGACATTCACATGGTTGAATGGCAGTCTAGGGCTCCGTAAATATTAAAGATGGAGAAAATTCACCAAAAATAAATCTTTACACAGTCAGTTAAAAAACAGTACCAAATGCCAAGAACAAGTTATTTATAAGGGAAAACGGCCACAGCATTCCTCTGGGCTGTTAATTCTATGCCAGAGGCAGCAAACATTAGCCTGGACTGGCACAGGAAAAAGAATCTCCATTTCAAGCTCTAAACCGGATTACCTACAAAAGCTGAGTAAGCCACCAAGTTATCTCTGCTTCCATTTCTCCTTTCTTAAAATGGAAGTAACACGATCACACTTAATGCAGAAAGAAATCTCTTGTCATTAGGCCTCAAATCATTGCTTGATTTTTTACAGCACGTTTGGATTTGCATTTAAGTGCGTTTAAAGACAAGGTTGGAATATGGCTCTGAATTTTCTAACTCCCTGGGGTCAGAGTTGAATCTTAATACCAATTTAACATAGCAAGTTGCATATTGGAGCAAGGTGCCATATGTCTGTTTTTCTCAGTCAAATGTGAGAACTGAGGAAGTTCTTTCTCCTCTCTGACTTAGCACTTACTGTTGTGGATTAACAGATGTCTTTGTAGAGAGAATGGGGTTCGGAACAAAGCTTTGCATTCCTCACACTGGAACGGTCTCTCTTCAGAATGGGTCTGCAGATGAAAGACAACATGTCAGAGGAAAGGCTCAGGAAAATCAATTAGCTATCATTAAAGTAATTATAGTTAATTTTCTGGACTGGATTCAGGAGGGGATATCACAGCAATTTGAAACATCAGGGGATGAAGAATTAAAACAATCATTCTGCCATTATCCAGAATCCTGAAAGTCAGCATAGCAACCACCTAATAAACGTACCTTCCCAGTCCTCACAAGTGTTACATGAGGTGTGCATGTAAACAGAAACACAAATATAGAATAACCAGGAAAAAACCCTACAAGCTCAGTTGCATTGCTTCATCAGTACTAACACTGGCCTTAAGTACTTACTAATATGAATAAATGCTTCAGAATTAAACACATGTATTCAGAACCCTTTTTTTCTCAGTTAAGTTTTAACTTCAAACTGATCTGATTATCTCAAGATAGCATCTAAAATTTGGCAAAGAAAATTTCCCAAATCATGAGCTTAGTCTTACATAGCCTTGTTTCAGCCTCTTGTATTAAAAGAAAAAAAAATAGAAAACAAAATATAGAAGCATCAGTACGGAGATTCTTGTTTGCTGTAGAAAAATTCATCGTAGCTGAGACACAGCCTCAAAGTCATAAATAAAATAAAAGGTTAAGCTTGGATGAATCTCTCAAACTGCAGAGTTGCTGAAGCAGGTTTCTTTTCTGGAGCTTAGGAACCACCAGCTTCATTCTACTTCTGTAAGTTTCAAAGGCCTGTTTCCTAGTGTTATTAAGTGCTGTCCCACTGTAGACAGTAAATTAATCCATACAATTTACTACCTACCCTATTTGCTACTATTTTTGCAGAGGAAAGCAAGTTTTTGAAGCACCAGTGTCTAAACATTGTATTAGCTCACAAGGACCTTAAGTAGAAGCTGCAGTGCCAAGAGGAAGAGGGGATGGACAGTGTTTTATAATATGCGCAAAATTAGGTAAATGAGTTAATTTTATAGACTAAGGGTAAATATTAGCACAGTACATATCTATATAATCTATTTCTGCTATTCATAATACCATACGACATTTATAGCTATCCCTTAAACTACAGAGAAAAAAGAGGCTGCGGAGTCAGCATAATTATTTAGGTGTAGACTGAGAGCCTTGAATATAGATGCATTTTAACACAAATGTCCTCTTACATACACAACAGTACCAAAACATCAGAGTACTTGCAATGGTATACAGAGGCTTCAGATTCAAAGTCAATTCCTTGATCTCAGCCTATGTCACTTAAAGCAAAAAGACAACTGGAGCACCATCAAATATGTGGAATATATCACATGTTACATAAAATCTGCTCAATGTTTCAGTTCTACAGGTTTACATCACAGTTTGCATTAGTTGATGCCCTGCTTGACAGTCTCAGCAGTCAGGCCAAGGATTGACAGGACATGAAGAGACTGAACTACCTTCTCACCTCAATAGGTGGTTCCTCCAGAACAGGGTTGAGACATATTGATGAGACACTGTGGGGAATCTCGCAGTGCTGCTGTCTGTGCTGTACCTGTTCTGTGGATAAATAGAAGGGTTCAGTCTCTAGGGCTGTCAATCTGGCACCTTTCACGAGCGCAAAATGCATGTTGTTTATTTAAAAAACGCCCTGTTTTAGAACACTCACCACTTGAGTGATAGTTCTGAAGAGCACAGTGATTTGTACAAAATTCCTTCTTAGCATCTCCTTGACAGTTCTCCTAGTCTTTTGATGAAAATACAAGTATTCATCTGCACATCTTAACTTCACTACAAAGAAAAATGCCTAACTAGGCATACCCACATGCAAGGGTACACACGCCATCTGCCACTTTTGTGAACGGTCCAGAAACAAGCTAGATATATTACAAAAAGCCATACAAATCTTAATGAGAGGTATTCCCCCAAACAAGCATATACTGTCCTTTTTTGTCCTACTAACAGGTTTCAGATCAGAGATGGCTTCCATTCAGTCAGAGCTGGGGACAGCCATGCTATCAAAGCAACTGAGGATGGGCTCTTAAGGAGTATTTTGTGGCAGCCTTTCCTACCATAGCATTTGTGGACGCTTAAACCCAGCCCAAGGCTACTTATTCCCAATAGAGAAACTGAGGGAATACAGTTGTTTCAATTCATTATGCTCCCTAGGACCAAATAACACCGGATTAACCATAAACCCTTTAAAATCCTGTGTCTGCTGACCTATTTCTGCTCACTGTCATACCCTCGTATTTTATTCTCTGAACTCATCCTCCATACATAGCAACAATGGAACAGATGGAACACAACCTTTGCTTTCTCCTGTATGGAAGTAATCTGCATTATACAGCACAGAACATGTACCTTCATCCTATCTAACCTGGATGAAAGGTAAGTACTTTTATCTGTAGCATAATCCAATACTACATTTGCCTTTTAATTTTAGATACGATTCTCTTCCCTTGTCACAAAAATGGAACCATATTCTTCATATGATCACTCGGTCATATTAGCCTAAGCTTCTTCAAAAGACATCTGAGCTAGTTCCACGTCACGTAACACTTCCCAGTGCTGACACCTCCACAAGCAAGTGACAAAGCAAGCTTGAGCATGCACCTACACATTGCAATGTAGTACTTGTATGCAGAAGCAGCACATCAGAGAGGTACCACAGGAAGAACAACAGCTTCTGCCTCTCGGATCTGTAGCTATGTCCTGGTTTCGGCTATGAGAGCGTAATGAGTGCTAAGTTAGGGTTCACATCGCAATTTTCCACTGAACAGATACACTCTTAGCAACTCCACTGTCTACCTTCAAGTGAAATCCTGTGAAACGTGAAGAACTAAACTCCTTCTGCACCTTTGAAATGACCCAATGTTCACCCACATCTGAAAGATGTTTAAAAGCACATGTTGTGGGAGCTATTTTTATTCTGATACTTCCAACACAAAATCAGATTAAATAACTCTCAAAAATGAATCACAGAGACAATAGCAACAACAAGTTTCCATCTAAAACAAGAATTCAAAGACACAAAATGTATACGTATCCTGTTTCTTATTATAAATAAAATGTAGCTCTGCTATAAAACCCAAAGAAGTTTTTCAAGTGCATTGCTATCAGACTGGAAAGCATGTTTTCTGCTAAAGGCTGTTGATTTAAGTGTTTTTAACTACTATACCCATCATTCCTACTGCAGGTTTATAAGCTCCCTGCTACTAGCACAGTAACTGCATTCTGGATCTCAAAAAAGCACTGTGAAATTATTCATAGTCCAAATTTTCTTCCTCCAAAAGAAAATGAAACCTAGAAGGATGTCTTAAAGGAATACACACCTAAAGAATCATTAAAAACCTGAGCTGAAGAAATACACAGAAGTATGGTACAATAAAGGTTTACATTTCCACAGTTACTGGATTGACATTCTCTTGAACAAGCAAAAGCACTATTGTTCTCTTCCCCTAGTAGTAGTACAGCCCTCCCAAAATCATGGCACTTGAAACTATTCGGCATCCCAAATTACCACCTTACAATTGGTTTTGTGTATACACATCCATACTCCCCTCCCTTATCTACTACCTCTCCTTGTTTACACTGTTTACTCAGTGGAGAGAGGCATGTCTAAAAAAGCAATTCAGGACACCTATGTCAGTCTCCTGTCTCTCATGTTCACCTCTTCATTTAGCAAGTGAAATAAGAGATCTAAATATGGATGGGTGAATATTCACAGCTGTTTGGGTAAACTTTATGTAAACACAGGAATAAGTTTCTTTCATTACAGGACAGGGTTGATTTATAGCCAGTACTATGTGCAAACAGGTTCAGGAAATAAGTAGTCTAACATGCCTTAAGGAATTCTGTCAAAATTATGTACTCATTAAATCTGTCTAAATTTTAGTATTTTTCCCATTAAGTGGAACCCTAATCCTTGCTTATGCTAGTGATGCTGCTGCTTTAAACACAGAACTGGCTCAAAATGTTTACTCATTCATACTTAATCCCAAAGTCCATTTTCAGCCCAAACTCCCTGCCAGTCATCAACTGCAAATTAACATAAATGAATACTTTTTACATATTTCCTTAAGATAGAGAAGTATCTTTACAGATAGTATTTTATATATTTTCCTTAGAATATATCCAATTTGTGAGATTCTGCCCGATTTTCTTTAAGTCTAAAAGGTAAGATACAATCACAGCATATATGGGAGCTAATCTTGTCCTTCAGCAGGCTTCAGCATGCTTGCTGTTTTAGACAGTCATCACCATTTCATCCTGCAAGAGGCATTATTATTACTCTTACATGATTTATGGCTGAAAGTGCAAGAGATGGTGCAAAGATCCTGTGCCAAATTCCCAGATGGCATATAACATGAGCCAAACTGCGAAAGACTTGTGAGCATGGGTATATCAGTTTCATCAAAAGGGGGAAAGACAGGGGTAGAATTTAAAAAATGTAAAGAAAAAAAAAAGAAAAAAGAGGAAAGGTTTCCAAATACCAGGCACAAAACCAGAGAGGTATTTTTTTTTCTTTCTTTCTTACATTCTTGTAATTCTGAAACAGCAGTCACGGATATAACCTTGCCATTAAAAATGTAAGTCCAGGTTCAAAATAATGACAGGCATTATATAAATTAGGCCAAGCAGATTTGAGCTTAAATCAACAGAAACAGAGTATCCCTTGATGAGCCTATTTTTCAGGTAACATTTCTTCTGATGTTGTTTTAATGTGTAAACACTACCCAGCTCAAATTCAGTATAGTTTGAAAGCATCTACTGCTAAGTCCAACAATGACTGCAACAGGACTATACTTGGGTTTTATTCAAATACGGTATTAAAAAAAAAAAAATTGAAGGCATTTTTTGGATTGATTACATTTTGAACTTGGTAACCTAATATTAAAAAAAAACCAACAAACCACCACCAACAAAAATCCCAGAAAAGTAAAAAATGGGGATTTATTTGATGCTTTTAACCAAGTAATTGTGATTTCCTTCCGATTTCTTTTTTTTTTTTAACTAGAATTCATTTAGTATTTTGAGATTTTGGATATAATAAAGAACGCTAAAAAATACAGTCTCCAACACTTTAATCCCATGTTTATAAGCATGCCAGAGCTTAATGATGAACCACTTAAAAGAAAAAAAAAATCTGCAAATCTGAGGCTGGCAGACCTGTAAACAACAACAGCAGAGTGCTTTACCTTCTTGTGATTCTTGTAAACATTTCTGTGGGCAAATCCCTTTCCACAAAGCTTGCATTTATAAGGTTTATCTTCACTGTGTATTATTTTGTGTGCAGTCACTTGATCAAGTCGTTTGAAGGACTTATTGCAAACCTCGCAGGTGTAGGGGCGTTTTTCTGCAGAAAATGAGTGGGGGACATTTAATCTCCTGTTTATACAGGGGGAGAAGATGAAAGGCAGAGACAGTCATCTCCTCAGAGAGATTTCTGCAATTAAGTCAACCCAATTAAGATTAAACCAATTAGAAAGACATCTAATGCCCTTTATGTTAGACAGTTAAGTCACTTCACAAAAGATGAGCCATGGTGTATCTCAAGAAATTGGCACATTCTTTGCAATAATCATTGCTAAAACTAAATTCTGATTAATTAGCTTAAATCAAAAGAGAATGACTTCAAAGAGGAAAACTCTGTTTCCAGATTACAAATGTGAAAGAGGGCATGACAGTTTAAATGTTTTAAAACTTAATTAACAATATACATATTAGCTTCCAAAACCAAAAGTTCCTATGCAAAAAGCTTTTATGCTTCAACTGGTGACTGCAACTTAACTACATTAATGCTCATCCAAAACTGTCAAAAGAAAACTAGGAGCCTCTGAGATATAGATTATGCTACAAGAAATGAGCTTTTGGTGCAGACTGATATCAAGAAAATAGTTCAATTATAAGCCTGTGCAGCTGTAAAAACCTGCATTTTTTTAAATGCTAATGTATTTGACAGAACAATGTTTGTGTTTCCATTGTGTTGGTTGATGTTTCTAATCACTGGTGAAAGACACAGAAACACTAGATTGCAGTGATCAGAAATCCTGGCAGAGTCAATTTGTGTCATACTGCCAAACCTACGGCCAGGCCACTCCCTGCTCACAGTGACCTGTTCTGGCAGTGGACAGGCACAATGAAACATTTGTGTGTGGGCTATGAAACAATGTGGAGTATAAGCTGCTTTCCCCTGACTGGAAACTACGTGCACAAGTCCGCTAAAATATATATATACACACACACACACGAATGAATGTTTCCCTTTCTATCACATATCTCTGTCCGCCAACATACCCCAGCTCCCATCCTCTTCAACATGAAATTTCAACCAACAGTTCTTTGCTTTCTTGCTAAGCCAAGTAGCAACCTTTTGCCCCATCCCAGCTAACTGACATCATCTACCCCAGCTAGCATAAAAAAAATAGCTGGACAAAGCAGCAATAGGAAGACGACTACAGCACTACACTTGGATTTTGGAAAGACTTAAAAAGGATAGCTTAGATGGTTTCCTTGGAACCTCAGATTTGCTTGAACAGCTCAGGACAACACAGAATTCATCAAGCCTTCTATAAGAAACTAATTCAGGTAAAATTCAATATACATACACATACATGTAGGTTTGTGTTATTTTTGTACGTTACCTGAATGAGTTATCATATGGCGTTTTAGCTGGTTAGCTGAAATAAATTTCTTGTCACATTCCTGACACTCAAAGATCTCATGGACCTGCAAAATGAATGTTTAATGATAACTAAGTATATGTCTCAAACAAGATCGCACATCTTACATATATAGAAATTCTTTAACAGACCATAACTGTTTCTTAGCCAGTAGCTATACTAATACTCATGAATATTCTGTGATTTCCCTTTTGCTAGTCCTTTGGTGAACAACAGTATCTCTCAAAAAATAAATATTCATAATTTCAAACAAAAAAAAAAAAATCACTGAAACTATCTTTAGAAACATAGGTTATGCAAATTTGTGATACCACATCAATTTGAAATACCATTATTATGAAAGCATTAAAAAAACAGATGCAGAATACATTTTCAGAACATTTCCTTCTAGTCAGTAAGACATAAGTAAAAATAACACAGTGACTACTTCATAACTGCTGTAGGAATTTTAAAAACCAAATACTATCAAACTCTTTCAGGATTCTTTCTCTTAAAAGCCTTTAGAGGCAAGAGTGAAGGGGCAGCAGCATCTCTTAAACTGTAAATACAGTAAGCATTAGCAGGATTTTCAATACCACAGCACACAACATCATCAAGGACTAAATGCTGGAAAAATAGAAGAGGCAGTTGGGAGCTGCAACTTCTGATTCTCAATTAAAAAAAAAAAGAAAATCTTGCATTATTTATTGTTGCCCAAAATCACAACACATACATAGATCTCCACCTGTCAAGATTACCATTCACCTTCCGCTCTGTATTACATTTGCCATCAGCAGCCTCCCCTCACCCTAGTTACAGTGCAACTGAACATATATTTCAGCTTTTTGGAACCACAGCCTTAGACGGCAAAACATTCGGGCAGACATCACATTTCATAAAGCTTTTTTGGAACACTCTATAGATTTTCTGTAGAAGAATCTAGCAGCTAAAATTAATAAATATCAAAGGTTCAACACAATAGTTTAATGAAAAACATTTGCGGACAACCCAGTGAAGCTCAACTAAGACTTCCCCTTAAAACAAACAAACAAAAAAAAACCAACAAAAAGAGATTCTCCTGAAGTATTCTGTCTCACCATGTTTTTATGCTGCTACTCACAAACTAACTTTAGAGCAAATTAAATGTTTTAATAAACTAAAAAGTAGTTATGCCATTTCCTACAATCTCTGCAAACTTGCACAGTTTGGACAGTGAAGCTTAATGAAATGCTCAGACAGAATCAGGTGTAAGCTCAAATGAAGATCATTCATTCTAAATATTCTGTTTACCCAGCTGCATTTCAGATTTCTCTTATACACACAATCTACTGCTCTACCCTTTTTCAAAAGATCTAAATTTTTACTTAGATTTTTGATTGAAGTTTACATAATTTTGCAAGCTAGTGCTATCAGAATCCTCCCCCCCCAACACAATTATTTGAAATAACTTGTAAGGTATTCTTAAACATAACATTTAACATATCAGAACTGAGACTGTGCTTCAACACTATAGAAATGTCTGATTTCAACTTATGGGCATTGTTTAATAAACAGTCTCATTGAATACATTTGTGTTGAAACAGACTTCCGTGCACGTGCATTAAAAAGCTACAGCTATCAAATATATATTCTACAGCTCATACTCTTTAATCAATTCTTTAGAAAAGAATCAGACCAGACTTGTGTGCACGTGCATTAGATAGCTGTAGCTATCAAGCATATATTCTATAGCTGGCACTCTTTCATCGGTTATTTAGAAAAGTGTACAATTACATGGTAAAACAACAGTAATAAAATATAGCAAATATTTTTATGAATAATGACATTCAAATGGATTTTCATTTTAAGAAAAGTTGTAACATGCTCTGTGAGTATACAAGCTGTATGTAATACTACAGACAAGTGCTCATGAAATGGTTTATCTGTATAATAAAATTAGTCTCATTAGGGGACTGCAACAGCTATCAACGTAAACCTCTGTTACATTAAAGTCAGAACATACTTACAATTGTTTCAAAAGCATTTGAAGAGATAGCAAGTTCTTATCTGAAGGTCTAAGTGCTATACAAAACAGCAAGCATCCAAACAAGATTAATATATGCTCAGATAAATATACTCCTTCACTTACAGGACTAACGATCTTAAAATGTTCCTGAGGTCTATTGAAAAGCAAAAGGTCATTCAAAAGAGTTTTGAGGGTGAACCCGAGCTAAAACTTTGAAGGTATAAGTAATGCATGATCAGCTTTTCCAAAAACTAATTTGAATTTCAGTCTACCACTCCAAGAACTGGATGAGGCTCTGTCTGTTGGAAGGCAGTGCTTTGAGAGAGCAAGGATATGAGAATATTGCATACAATTTAAATTATTAAATGTTATTGACAATTTTAAAGTGGTGGTCAAAATTTCATTTCCTCTACCTTTCTATAGTTTTCATAGTGATTACAAAAAATAAAGATGGCATAGTAGAATAAGACACTGCCCAGTGTGGAACAAAAAGGGCAGAAAAAAAACAACATGGAGACACTAGGAACTGGCAGGTGAAAAAAGGCAGGGGGGAATCACAGATGATGTTTAAAAGGGTGACTGTCCTCATCATAATTTTACAGGAAGTCCAGCTCTAGAAAGCTAAGAAAGAATCAAGAATTTTTCATAAACAGTAAAACACTCTCAATCTCTTAGAACAAATGATGAGTAAGATCCTGCTTGATTCTGTCAGCCTACCTGCAAGTACTGAAAAGTGTAGCACTATCCATTCTGACCGCATCATCCCGGGAAAAGAAACCAGCAAAACTGGGATTGGTTGGAATTTTTCTTCCCTTTCCACTTACAGAACAGTAGAGCCTCAGTGGAGAGGCCTGGCAGCCTGCGCTATTTGCATGTATATGCTCACTTCTAAGTTTAAGTTCCTGCAAGCAATTCAAATCCAAAGCATGAGACACCTATATTCAAAGGAACCCTTTAGCAAGAATCTGCATCAACAAAGACAACACTTCCCTCGTTTGCTTGCTCGCTCACTATTATCATCGTTGAATGATTGAATTTTGCCATTTACTTAAACTTCAGAACTTAGTATCAGAATGTAATTCAAGGAGGTGTTTCATTTGCTCTGGCAGTAGACATCACCTGCAGAAAGGAGATTGTACAACAAACTTTTTCATTCTATTACCCAGTATTCTGTAAGCTCCTGTACAGCATTTCCTGAGTTGTATTTGCTGAAAAATTTTTTTTTGTACTATCGTATCACTTAGCAGATAGAAGGATATCAGTTTACAATTGGGGGATGAGACAAAAGAGAACAGGCAGATATAGACAGAATGGAAAGCAAAAAGATACTGATCACCACAAAAAGCAATAATATCAGTGGATCAACATCATAACATAGCATCGTGCAGGAGGAGGGTTGTAGTATGGTAAGTAGTTTTGGAAATCAAATATAAAATAAAAAATGTAGATGAGACTATTCTAGGTGGGACTGTAATCACTAAGGAAGACAAGATCAGAATCCAAAATGATTTCCACACTCTGAATGAAGCTGCAAAACACTCAGTATTTAGGAAGAAGAAATCAAATGCACAAATGCTAGATGATGACCAACAGTTTACATAGCACCACTACATTAATGAATTCCAAACAAAATATGAGTAACATGATTGATGCTGCTGTTAGAAAGCACTGTCACTCTGAGATAAGTTCTCTGTATTACTAAACTCAGGACATCATTGCACTATACTTGGCACTATCAAGGGATCAGTAAAGCACCATGACTTCAAGAAGCACATAGGTGAAATAGAGAGAATCCACAGGAAGAAAAAGCTTATAAAAGCAAAAGAAGTTTGGAAAAACAGATGCATGAAGAAAGGTTGAGATAAGTGTGTTTGTACAGCCTAGGAATTGCGAATGGAGTTCATAACTTTGCAATATGCTAATTGTTATAAAGATGACGGTGGTGAATTCTTCTTGGCATTCTCTCAAAAGACAAAGAGCAATTAACTCAATTTGCAGTAACGAAGAAGAAAAAAGCAAACATTGGACTAAACACATTCAAAAAAAGCTGATGGCACTAAACCCAAAAGTCAGAATACAAAGAGACCTCTATGGAGATGGTAGAATTTTCTTTAGTGGAGCTTTTCAGGAGATGAGACAGCGCATATCTAGGATGAGTTAGGTACATGCTTACTCCCCTCTGTGAAACAGAATGGGCTAGAAAACCTCCTGAGGTCTCTTCCAGCCCTACAATGACTTGAATTTATTGAGATAAACTAAAAAGGAAAAAAAGGAAAAAAAAGAATAAAAGAAGAGGGGGAAAAAAACTCATGCCACCAAAACACTAAAAATTAGCATAGTACAAGCAACAGTCTGGAAAACAAGAAGGTAAGACTAAGGATGGAAGATGATGACAGCAAAGTTTAATTGTGCATGGCTAAGAAAGGGCTCATCTTTAGACATACAAGGCAGAAGAAATCCACAAGACACACAAAGCTAAAAATGGGTTTAAATCAAAGATGACATGAAAGCTACAGATATGAATGACTGTGTCTTCACAGAGTAAAGATATCTCAATCTTCCCGATAGCCACCCTCTTTACCTTCTTTCTCTGTGTTTGTCACATTTCTCTCTTTCTGTTATTTGGGCTTATTTTCTGTTATCTCCTATACGTTACCTTTCTGTTCTCTACTTTTATTCCTTTACATTGACAGGAAATGGGTGGGGAAAAAAAAATCTTTTCCTCCTTGTTTCACCTATTATTTTCTTACTGTTCTAATTGCCTGTCTAAATATTTTTGGCAATGATGTTGGTGATGGATCCCACCCCACTTCCTAGAAAAGCGAAGTAATTCAAGCAAAGAGAAGGCACGAGTCCTACACGCAATCTCTTTCACTATCTGATGTAGGTGTGTGAATCCAGAATATCTACTTTCTGAATGTCTTAGAAGAGGAACCAATCAAGAAGAAGAAATAGTTTTCTACACAAAATCTTCATGGTGATTCTTAAGATGAATAAGTGCTCAACTGACCTACCATCAATACTACTTGAAAAGCTTGTTCGTTTGTGTCATAGTGCCTGCACAGAATTACTACTGAAACAAAACAAATATTTTAATAAAATGGACACACTAACCAGGACATTTGGCATTATTTTTCAGGGCCAACATAAGGTGCACTGAGGTGTAAAAATTGTAATTACATGTGGCAAGGCATACCATAATTTCGTCTGAGGAGTAACAAAGTATAGCTCTGTTAGACAAGAAATGCAGGGTGTATTAATACAAGCAAAGAGAAAAACAAATTTAAAAAGGAGAGGCCCCACTATTTCCTTTACAACAACATATTTTAATTTATATCACCTATATCCTCAATAGATTCAGGTTATCACCAGGGCATTATTAAAGACTTACAGTTAATCTGATAAATAATACAGTGTAGCTTTCTGTAAAAACAAAATCTCCTGGGTTTTAGTGATTTATCAAATTAATCTTGTAGGAACTTGCTTTGGGTATAACGGATTCAGAATCTCATATACACAGTTCATCTGTATTTCTATATGAACCCCCTTATTTCCAATAGATGCTTTTCAAACTGCTAACCCCTCCTGTTCTGGGTTATAAAAGATTACTGGCATAAACAAAAAGATGTTAAAAATTTGTCTTTGAGGAAGAATTTTTTTCACTACTGCATAACTGAAGTACAAGTAACACCCTTACTGGTACATCACAAAGTAGTAAGAAAGATTGTATTTTGCAAAAAAACTGAAGGCTCATGAACCTATTTTATGGTCTGTATGTATCCTATCATTACATAACATACTTTTAGATTTAGCTTAGCGTTTAAGAATGCTGAAGGACAGCAGGCAACTTTGACTTGATGTTGGAATGCATAAGTGATGCAAACACATACATCTTTGTATTTGGTAACAGACGCATTAAAACTTTAGGAAGATTTTGGTTTAACCAATCGTGATTACAAAAATAAACACCCACAATAAAATACATTGGGTTTGTAACCATGAAAGAGATTACCCAAAGGTTTGCATTACAGCAGCTTTCAAGTGACCTAAGCACCACAGTCTCACATCTTAGTGAAGTCAAAGCCTGCTGTGGGTTAGCCTTCATCTTACTGACCTTTCGATGCTCTTGGAGATTTGTCGCTGAGGAACATTTCTTATTGCACACTGAACACATCAGCTTCTTCCTAGAATTTCCTGAAACAGAAACAAAATACCACCAACATCTTAAAAAGGAAGTGCTAAGAAAGAACCTAAATATTTCCACTGTGTCTGTGACTTTTCACAGGTCATTTGACTGACATAAGATTTTTACATTTGTACCCCATCTTCAAAGCGTTCCGTATCAGGAGTTCTCTGTGGGCGTCCAACAAACCCGTTACTCGTGGAATGTAAATCAAGAAAACTAGAACAATAAAGAAAAAACCCTCTTCAAATAGATGTTATCACACATCACCAATCCACTATGAAGAGCGCAATTCCCAACTAAGAACAACTCACTTGATAACTGAACAGTTGATTTCTTCCAGAAGTCAATACAGGAGTTAGTACAGCAATGACAAAAAAGATCCCAAACTGAAGCCAAAACCACCATTTCCCATGTTTCTTTATTCACAGAAAGCATTAAGCATACTACTATATAAAATAATCTATCATTAATGGGCTTTAACTGAATAAGACAGGGAAACTGTATTAGCACCAGATCATGAATTCAAATCTTGTCTAAAACATAAATTACAAAACAAGCTACAGATCAGCTACCAGATGCATTTTCCTTCCCTTTTCACAGTTGCTTTAAAAAGTGCCAGAGCATTTAATTGGGTTTATCTATTATTTACCTTTCAAAATTCATTTTAGTAACCTATAAAGCTATTTTATTACAAGACAAAGCCACCATAAACCTAATTCTTTGTTTATAATTACCTGCCTATACAAGGTATTTCCTAGCTTATGTAAAAAACGTTCATATTACATTGAACACTAAAAAGTACAGACACAGAACAAAAGAGGAGGGGAGTACCGCTTAGTGAAGCACAGAGGAAGTATGTATCATATATGAACTCATTAGATGGCTTCCAGTTCAATTTTTCAGACACGCAGCACCTTTTATCTTTCCTAAAGAATTCACATTATGTTGATTCTTCTTACTACAAGGTACCCTGTCAATCAATTGGTTCAATACTTAAATTTGTAGTACAAAAAAGTCCTCAAACTCACATATGCATTCGCTGTTATAAAACTTACAAGTATTTACATATACTGATACACACATAAATACAGGAATACACTTAGTACTTCAACTTACAATGATGAGACCTTTTCAGAGGAGAGGAAGGTGATAGTGAATATCTGTTCATAGCTTTGCATAATGAGCAACACACCTAACAATCCTTTCTACTTTCCTGTGCCTCCAGGTAACACAAGGTAGGAAGGAATTCTAGAAGTGTCCTTCAACAGTAGTAGGTTATCTTCCTTCCTGCACTGACACCAGTTGTGGTTTCTATGACTCCCAAGTAGTAAAATAAAAGCTCTGCTCGTTGTGCAGGCAAAGCAAAAATATCCTCCAGGTGTCTGCTCTCAGTCAGGTCTGGAGTGATTATTCAAGAGAATTGTGGAATTTGTACACCACTACATAACTGACCAAAGCTAAGCCTAAACATAATACTCATGGATGAAAAAAATTCTTACTGATACTGAAAAAAGGAGATAATCTTTTGTAAGAATGGTTATGGAGGGGTTTCTGTATGCTGTAAGAGTCTGGCAGAGGACAGAGATTTCATGTAATAAAAAGCCTTCCAAAGCATCTCAATGCTGTCATCATCAACTGAAGACTGTTTTCTTTGCGCTCTGGTATTCTGCTGTCCCTACACAAACTGATCTTCCATTGACATTGAGAGAGGACATGCAGAGAGAGCAGAATGCCAGAACTGAGATCTGCTTTGTGGACCTGAGAGGAGTATTTTGCCCTTTCATGGAAACAGAGAGAAATTTGATTGAAAACTATTGATTCACAGTGCACAGATATAAAAACACTAGGGCCTAAGGGGACTAGTGGATTGTCTGGTCTGGCTTCCTGCACAACAGAGGCTATACAATTTTAAGCAATACACCCATCAAGCCTAATCGTTTGTGAAGCATGTCTTCCAGAAAGATATCCCATTGTGTCCTGAATATACCAGAAGATCAAGAACTCACCACTTCCTGTAGCAGTTTGTGCTAGTGGTTGATTCTCCTCACTACTGAAATGGTTTGCTTTATCTATTATTTGCCTAATTTAAACTTCCCCAGATTCCTATTACATTTTCTGCAGTAGACTAATGATTCATCTGGTATATAGTAATTTCTCCCTGAGGGAGGAGGAATAGTTACTTTTGCAGTTAGTTACTACTAAATTTTCTTTTTTAATATAAATGAATCCATTAAAAAAAGAAACCAAAGACAATGTTTACTCTGATTTGCAAATTTAAGACTAGGAACACGTTAGAGGGTTTTTTCCCAAAGAAACATTAAACACTTACCACTGTGAACATTTTCTTTATGTTTTTTCAGGGCATCCTTACTCTTGAACCTCTTCCCACAGCTGTCTGCCTTGCATATGAATCTGGCATCCCCTCTGCATGCCTCCTTGTGCTGTTCATAACTACACGTGACAACCAGTAAAAAGAAACAAACACAAAAGCAACATATAAAGCAGTATCTACAGAAACCAGACACACAGCAAGTACTCTGAGCTTAAAGCATGCTGCACTGCAGAGTTCCAGGGCCACCTCATGCATTACTTACAGCAAATAGGAATGAAAACATTTGACTTCTTTCACTGTTAGGATTCACATAAACTAACAAGCTTGAAAGCTAACATGCAAAGGGAGGCCAGCAATATGACAGCAGTCCAGTAACTCAGACACAAAACCTCGATTCTGAGCTGAAGGAAGTATTGCAAACAGAGCACTGAAAACTTCTTGAAGAGTCTCCTGGGCTGATATTCTCTGTGCACTGAAGTACACTAAAGAAAAATAAAATAAAAAAAGAAATAAGGGGAACATTCTACAACTTACACAGGCGTGCAGTAGTTAAAAACATATATGTAGCTCCACAAATCTACGTAGGTGAGTAATCTATTTTAAACGTGAAGTCACCTGGAATTTCATGGGATTAATCAAATGCATAAACAGCAACAGTTAGGATCATCCTGCTGTATCCTCATACAGATTAATCTTACTTTGCATGATGTAAAAATTTACTTAACTAGCTATACAGCACAAATCCAATTTCCACTCTAGACTAGAAGGAACAAGTCTAAGTTTAAGAGAAAATATTTAATTGCCACCTCCAAATATTTCTCTGCTATGTAATTTTATTTATTTCCATGAAAGAACACAAAGCTCATATAGAGCTGCCAGTTCCAGGAATATTCACATTATTCAGATGTAAGAAAGATCAATTTATCACAAGAGTAGCCTTAAGCACATTCTATGAAACATGAGTCTGTTTATTTCCAATACAAGAGAGATTAAACATACTATCTATAATCACTTAAGCATCTAATGAACTATCTGTAATTAAATGTATAAAAGTAATGTATTTATTTAATTGCAAGTAAAAAATATATACATAACACAGGACAAAAACAGTTATGGTTTTGTACAAAAGTATAATTGTAAGATATATGGCTTTAGTGATAAAACCGCATATTTACACTATCAAGGACAGTAAAGATGTGCTCTGAAATCTCCTGTCTTTCATGTTTCTATTTGATTTTTTCCATCATCCAAATATTTAATTAAGCAAACGTGAAGGATTGTTTTTGCTTTTTTTTTGTCCTTCTAGATCACCACTTACTTCTAAATCTTACTTTAGTTCTGTAACAACATCCATAGCTTAAAAACTACATCTCCCAAACTACTAAATACCATTTTGCAGCAAACAGCAGCTCTGATCTGGTCTACAGTGTATGGTTTTAAAACATAAAATTAGCGACATTTTTGCCATTCGAATTGAAGTCTCCAAGAAATTAACATATTAAAACACTAATGTAAACTGTAAGGGTACAAATACATAAGCTTAAAGTTTAAATTGTGATTAAGTCAAGAGAAAAACAGTTGAATGAAATTGATTTAAATGATCCCTGAAAAAAACACTCCTGTTTCTACTCACTGTCTTTGTAGAGCTTGTTTAACAGGGAATTTCTTTCCACAGTTTCGGCACTTAAATTCCTTTTCTTCGCTGGGTTTTTGGTGCAAAGTCTGAAGATGTTCAGCTAGTATCTCCTGACTGGCAAAACTGGATTCACAGTTTGGGCATGCATGGTCCTCTTTAGAGGTGAGGGGATCTGCATGATTGGAGCCAAACACAGTAAAGGAATAGTTTTCAGGGAATATTTTGGTTACATTAAGAGAGATTCTCTGCCAGAAACACATTATGCAAAATGGCATCACAAAATTCACAAAAGACATTGTCTCTAAGTGGATTATAGACAGCCTATCTTGAGTAGATTACCATCAGCATTATTGAAAATGGATGCAAAGTATGAAGCTGGGTGTGACTTAGGCTGTTAGCCTAAATTAGTCATCCAGGTTGTCTCTACTTTAATAATGATGCTGAGAATTCACCAGGCAGCTCAGGTCACCTACTTTTTCTTACATATCTTACCTTAGGATTGGCTGAAACAGTTTTATGAAAAGGTTTATTTCTCTCCCATCTAAGTAAGAGGGAAACTACCACTCTTAGAGCAAAACCTTAGCTTTCATAAGACTGTAAGTTAGGTGAAATGGACTCATCTTTAGTTCAAAAATTAACGGTAACTTCTCATGAAACCTAGGCTCACTCATTCACTCAGTAATTCACAGGACTGGCTGCTTCTTATTAGGCAACGAAAAGAACCTCAACTCAAACCAAAATAAAGAGATACAAATCATACAAGAGCTCAGACTAAACCTAGGGAGCCTTCCAGTTCCCCAATCCTATACAGTTAGTGTTCTCTTTCTCCTTTGTTACCACTCTTAAGCTCTCAGGTTATCCTATTTTTTACATATTGCTCACCTGCTATTTTTTCACCAGCTGGTTGCACCTCTTTATTGTTGCCACTGTTTTCATCTTCCTGGATAACAGTTACTTCTTCTTCTTCTTCCTCCTCTTCTTCTTCCATGTCACTGTCCAAGTACCCAATCAGAAGTTCTGTGTCTGTTTCAATATCTTCCACAGCCAGATAGAAAATATTTTCTCCTTCCTGTTGCAAATAATAAGTAGAAGCAATGAATAATTCAGAAAAAGTAAAATATAGAGACAGGTATGGGACCCTGAACTAATATTAGCCCACAACTATGGAAGGGCTGGCTCCATTCCCCAGGGAGCACAATGCTAGAACTGCCTTTCTAAGACTCCTTTCCTAGTGTGGTTGCATGGATAAAGTGCCCTTGTATTCCAGTATTCTGGAATTATTCCCCTGCTTCACCTATGAGGCTTTTCCAATACGTGCTGTAATGTAGACTGTCCTGGGTTCAGCTGGGATAGAGTTAATTTTCTTCCTAGTAGCTGGTATAGTGCTGTGTTTTGGATTTAGGATGAGAATAATGTTGGTAATACACTCATATTTTGGTTTTTGCTAGGCAATATTTACACCAAGTCGAGGACTTTTCAGCTTCTCATACCAGCCTGCCAGCGAGGAGTCGGGAAGTACACAAGAAGCCAGCAGGGGACACAGCCAGGACAGCTGACCCAAACTGGCCAAAGGGATATTCCATACCATAGGATGTCATGCTTGCTATGTAACTTGGGGGAAGCCAGCCAAAGGCACAACCGCAGCTCTGGAACTAGCCAGGTGTTAGTTAAGAGGTGGTGAGTAATTGTGCTGTGCATCACTTGTTTTGTATATTCTTTTATTATTATCATCATCATATTTTTCTGACCTATTAAGCTGTCTTTATCTCAACCCAAGATGAAAGTGGTGTTAAAGTCCTCCTCTCCTGCCACACTCTGCCTGACAAGAACTTCAGAGTTTGAAAATGAAACATTTGAGCATTAGAAAAATAACAATTTAAATAACCAATACAGCTTTAGCTCTGTCCCCTGTTGGCTGCATGAATTATAACCAGCTTTCAGTAGCATGCTTACATAGTGTTATTTTCTCTCTCTCCTTAAGATGCCCGGCCTTCTTCAGGAACAGGCTTTCAATCCTGGTCAGTTATCTTCACTATCAAGTTAGCAGGCACATCTGTAAAATGCACTTTAAACTACTAGATGAAAACCCTCTGCAGGTTTCAATTAGTGTAGATACACAGATCCACAGAAGGCCAAAGATCCAGCCCAGATTCTGCATGAGAGGACAAACTACGTACTAATAAGCTCCAAAACCTTCTCCACAATGAATAAATAAGCTTCCAAATAGATACATAAACTAACAACTTTGGTCTTTGACAATATTTAAAGTTACCAAGGTTGACATGGCAGGGCAGGGATATCCACAGCAAAAACAGCTGTCTCCTAAACTGATACCCAGAGCTGAGGGTTTTTGCCATATGTGAACCAACTGCTCTAGGTACTACCCAAAGCACCAAAGAAGACTCATTTTTATGCAATGAAGGCTTCCAAGTTCTATCGTAAATCTTAAAGCTTATCTGATTAACATCCAGAGAAGTTAATTGAAACTTCTTTAGACAACATCTAGCCGTATATTATCTAACAAGCTTTCTAGCACAAGGACAAGATAATGATTTTTAATTTTTGTAATATACTAAGATTAATTAAACTGTCAACAGCGATATAGTATTCCTTGAGCTTTAGAAGGTCTGTTATATATTACGCAAGATATTGTCACACAAGAGTGAAACCTATTTAATTCAATAGACTTGATAGAGCTGCTGCTTTCAAGGATGCACCTCTTTCCTGTCCTTGTCTCAATAGCAGCATTTGAAAACAACACAAATTATGCATTTCAAGATATATCCTGCAGCCCAGATATCTATCAGCATGCCACCCTAACTTTTGCATATGTCTAGAAGTTACTTTTTTTCATCTGCCTCTGTCAAGTTACAGAAACCTTTACTACAGTCTAAACTCAAAACAAATCATGTACTGAAAGTCTTGACATGAGGAAAAGTAAATGGTCTTTCTACACTCAGTCTCCATTTAGACAGGATAAAACTGCTTAGCTAAACCTCCAATACATCACTGTTTAGGACAACCTTATTCTAAAAGCAAACAACCTTATAAATGGAAGCACATACCTATTACTGCCTTGCCAAAAAAAAAAAAAAAAAAAAAAAAAAAAAAAGAAAAAAGGAAAAAAAAGAAAAAGAAAAAGCCACGTATCCCAGGCAAAGTGCCAAATGTACTCATTAAAGAACCAAAGAGCACACCTTTCGTTTAGATCATATGCGATGAATCTTACACCACACAGTAAGTTTGGGAGAACAGCAACCAGACCTAATTATTCAGGCTAACCTAGACCAAGTGCCAGCCCAAACTAAAACACAGCTCAAATTCATTTCTCCTCCAAGGCTAATTTGTTTGGCTTTTCCAGCCAAACAAATGCTAATAGTCAGGTATTCAGAGCACTAATTAATCCAAATACACCCATGCTGTAGTAGCTCCTCAAGGCAGCATTTTCAGTGAAACCAATGGAACTTCTCCAGAAAATACAAAGGAATTTAAGTTTCTCCCACCACCAGCAGCACCTAATGAAGCACATGGATCTACATGCAGACGTAGACACAGTGACCGTCATAGGAAATCTTTTGAGTAATTTTAATAATCCTCCAATTTCTAAGAACACATCTGCAATTGTTCCACCTGCCCATCTGCTTAGGCCATGCTGGTTGTTTTGCTAATAACATTCAGCTGCAGCAGGCCACAGTGGTCCTTGGGACAAAACCCAAAGTGCTGGTCATGGTGGCATCACAACCTCCCTTTGATGCGATACATGAGGTTCCTGTCAGACCACTTCTCCCCATTTCTTGTTGAGGTCCCTCTGGATTAGACACTCCTATTTTTGTGTCATCAGCTAACTTGCTGATGATACACCCTGCCCCATCATCCAGAACATTTCTTTCTTGATGTATGATCTCTTCAACTTTTCCATGACATCCTTGCACAAATCCAGTCAGACAATATTGCTTTCAGCATGCCTCTGCTGCAGAGGATGTTAACCACTCTAGCAGTAATACCAATTCTCATTCTATTCTTTATTTCCAAAGCATCACAGGAGCAACCCTGCATTTTTTTATGCTTTTTTGAAAAAGCTCAATTTTTAATTTCTTTCCCTTTTTCAACTCAAAAAGAGGAGGTAGCCATAGGCACTAGCTTCCACTTTGGATCTAAATCCCAATTTTCCCCAAAGTTTACAGATGTTCAGACTTAGCGTTCCACTCCAAATCTACCTTAACTAAAGTAGCATTTCACTGTTTTAAGAAATGCTGGCTTAGTAAAACTTAAAACCATGTAAAACATATGCAGAAGTTCACATATGTGACTTTCACTGCCACAAGTAACCACTGAATTCAGCAACTGAACCACGCTGTAGGGCACCATACACTGTAAGAGATGCCAAGCACTCCCTGTTAACTTGCAAAGTCTATGCACCTGATGCTGCTCAGCACCTCCAGGAGCTCTTTAGCATGTTTTTGACTGAGCAACCTAGATCTAAAGCCTTCCAAATGCCATGAGAAGACTTCCATTGATATCAAATGTAATGAGATCACTCCCCATTATTCTAACTCACTGTTTTCTAAGCTACAGCAGACTGTCCCAGTGTCTGCTTGCCAAAGAAAAAATATTTGAATTTAAAGCTCTAGCTGGCTGCAATTCTGTTTACAAAACTGTTTCGATGTTAACAACAGGATCTGTTTTGCATAGTAATCTCCAGCAGAGAGTGTTTAATAAAAGTACAACTGACAGATAAACTTATGCATTCAGGATAAAGGAATATTGAAAATATAATACTCTACCAGTCTAAAAATTGAAAAAACAAAACTGTGATATTTTTGATAGGAGCCATTTCTCTTTGATTATGATAATTACAATGCATTTTTGCTACATATCAGAAGTCATATTTGTAAGTAAATAGGTAGGAATAACCCAGGGCAAAAGAAATTACAATACATACACTTTCTGTCAATGCAAAAGTTGTAATTCTAAAGCTACTTTAAATAGAGGATTAACTCATTCAATTACTACTTGAAATCGGTTAGAGAAGCCTCCAGTAATTCAGCTGTGCAAGTGCTCAGAAAAACAACTGGTACATACACAGGTACCTTCCAACCTTTCCATCCTTCACCAGCAGCCACACAGTGGTACTACTCACCACACAGCTGTTAAAAATACTTCCTGTGCCTTCCCAATCAAAGACAACCTGAACACCACAGCTACCCTTCATCAGGGAAAAACAACAACAAAAACCACACACCAAAAAACCCCCACAAACCCCACTCCCCAAAAAAATAAATAAATAAAACCCCACAAAACTTAAAAAAAAAAAATCCCATGCCATCTAAGCTGCTCTTTCACCACAGGAAGCATTTTGCGCAGAGTCTAAACATGCTCATTGGGTACAATTAAGCTAAGGTGAATTAATCATATTTTGCAGTCAACCCAGGATGTGGTTTACTTTATTTGTATACAAGGACATATGCATTCACTTCATCTTCTTTTAAACTGAATACTGAGCAAATCAACCCTTTCTAGAACTATGCAGACATTCTACTTCAATTATATAATATGTAATCATTCAGTTGGTTTAAGATTAGGATTTTTTTTGTTTGATGTTATAATCTGTATTAAGAATTCTTCTTTTTTTTTTTTTAAATTATCTTAGATACCTGTTCAGCAATACAACTTAATTTTTTTTGCAGCCACATGACTTGAATAGTGACAATGAAGCTAAAACAACTTTAATGATTTAATTCATAACTTTTTCCTCTTTGTAAAACATCATTTTATCATCTTGGTGGCAAGCAGGCAACTCTCAATTCAAATTAAAGGGTATCATTAGTGGAAACATCCCACCTATTTTGCCCACTGATTTCATAAAACAAAGTGCTACGGCACCAAGTGACATTAAATCTGCTTAACATTAAAGGCAATGATTGTGGAATTAAAATACTGAAAGATTTGTGGACTGGGTTGTTGGTTGCTTTTTTTTCCTAAAGGAATAGCAGAGGTTTGGGATTTGCATCTCCATCTACTAAAGTGAGATCAAACCCTGCAAAGAAATACACGCATATTCAGTTTTTTTCAACACAAGTAGCACCTATTCCTGTTATATGCAATCAAATACTTATACATATATACATATCTACACAGCTTCAAGGTCACTCACATAGAATACACAAGTTGCTCTGGCAGCTGATTATTGATGATAATAAAAAAACCCTATGAGATAACTTAGTAAATTTTTGTCTGTTTTTTTTAAGTTTGCCTTTCCTATACTTTTCATCATTCTGTACATGCCAATCATGTTTCTTCTATTTTTCCCTGCAACTTTTCCAAATGTCTTTCTGTGGAAGCTTTTATAGGACTAGCATTCTTGCTACTCTTTGCTGTTTTTAAACCATCCTTTAACTCCAGTATGATCCTTTAAAAAGGCATGCAAAAAGTACTAAGCACACTCTAAGCAAGGTAGAGCATTATGCAGTATAACATAGCAGTTTGTTTCCATTTCTTTATTTAAATAATCATTTTCATTATCAAAAAATCCCACTGGTACACACTAGATACTCCATTAAAACTTCTCTTCAGAAGTTCAGGTCATTTTACTGCGTGTTTTATTTAAAATATAATAACGAACTTTAATTGCTCACACTGCTCCCTCTTGTGAGCCTTACTTTGCATTTGCTAACATTGACTGTAATTTGCTATCACTGCCTATACACTGATGACATACTAATCACTGACTAATGCCTAGGACTCCTCATGTATGAGGACCTTTCATATTTGGTACTAAAAGAAGGACAACAAATCTTTTGATAGATCTTGGTATAACCCAGAGACAAAGACAAAAGGAAAACATACAGAAATAATTGCATAGGCAGTGGTCATGCTAAATTAACCATTGACTTGTGACAGACATCAGGAAAAGCATAATAAAGCAGTCATTCAGTGAGTACTGGCAAGAGTTTTTGCTGAATGGATGAATAGTGAAGATTCTTTCTTATCTGTTACTCAAAATTCAATTGTAGCCTGGATGTTAAGACCTAAAGAGGTCTGAACCAAAGACAACAACCTAGAGTACAGGCCTAGAGGAAAAGCAGACAATGAAGCTGTCCACAGTGACCTAAAACAGGAACGGCAACAAGGTCCAAGGAAACAGTATCAGCAGAACTGCAGCCATGATCAGCCAGCGATATGTGACGGAATGTCACAGACTGACATTCAGTAAAACTAGAGCTTTTCTACTTTGGAAAGTAGAAAGCGCAAATCAAGTGAAGGCTGGCAGATAACCAGTTAGGTTTCCCAACGCAGTGTGCACTGCTAATAGTAGCATTCAACTACTGAGATAAAGGAAGAAAAGCCAGGCAGAAGAGGCATGGTAGGAGATACAAGAGCAGAATGGAAATCACAGGAAAGGTCCCAACTGGGACAGGAAGAGGGAGGCTGATACCAGGTCTGCAGGGGAACTGGCAGAAGCAATCTCGCTGGGCAGTGCTTGCTTAACGTCCAAATAAGCAAACAGTCCTTCGAGTGAGTAGGAGATTTAGGGAGTTGGACAGGTCATAAACACAGAAACTGAAATTACTACTGTTGAGTGGCACTAAGTATGAATAGAGGGGGCAAGGGGAGAACAGCAATTATGTATCTTTCACAGAACTACATGCTAGGGCTTTACTAGTATTCTTTTTCTACCTAGTAGGTTTAAAGTATTTTTTTCCTGTTTTATTTCATCAAAAATTAATTTTGTTTTCTTGGCAAGGAAAAATGATTTTTTTTTTTGTTCAGCCTCAAAATAAACTACGTCTTTAAATACTTTTGTCAGGGATCTGCTGGCAAATCCTAGGAAAAAGTCATCTTATGATGAAAAAGCAGAATAATAATTTTAAGAAATGCTGATAAATAACTATCCTTTTCCTATTTCTTTTTTCTTTTTTTTTTGGCAAAGTTGGATTACATCAGCAAATAGCAGGGGTTAGCCTGAAACAATATTTTGGAACGTATACATTTTGAGCAAAAAATTTAACATAGCTATGAAATTCTTACTTATGCGGGACTGGAAATTATTTTACTGTAAAACTGAGCTGTTTAAAAAAAAATATGCAGATAGTTCATTTCTTTCATAATCTCCAAAAGGACAATAGCTGTAACTAGAAAAATATTGCTGTCTTTGTTGCATTCTGCAAAGTCACAGAATGCTTCCAAAAATGAGAGATTAAATAGACTAAGACTCTTCAGCTTGAGAAAAAAAGCTGTCAAATAAGAGGGAAAGGATATAATAGGGTTCTCTCAAATCAAGGATGGCATAGAAAAATGAACATAAATTAATTATTCACTGTTATACAAGGACTAGGGAATCAAGTGAAATGAAGAAGTTTCTAGAAGAAAAACAGAAGCATGTTTCAACATAATGTGTAATTAAAATAGTGGAACTCATTACAACAGAATGCTGCAAATGACAAATATAAAATGTAAAAATAAGATGGATAAATTCAGATCCACAGCCAAGACTACAAAAAGAAAATGATCTTTTTTTATTAACCTATCCTCACGCACTGTCTGATCATCAGATAATTAGATCCTTCAATTCTCTGTCTTCTACAGGAATATTTTAAACATCACACTTGCTTTCAAACTGTCACACTTTAATATTAAATTTTAAATGATAAAGCAAATGCACTATTCTGCTTTCATGCACACCTAAGCCCATACCTGAGTTCAGCATGCAATGCAACTAAGCCTCTAAATCATTAGTCCTGATTCAGCCAAGTACATAGTTACCTAGTTATCTTTTTAATTTCCACAGTAACAAGAAAACAAGTTAATTCAGGCAAAATCTTAACTTGACTGAATAAGGCTGTAGTGAGAAAATTAAACTTGTTATAGTAGTAGGTTAACTACTCTGGAAATTAGTTTTGGCAGGGTTTTTTTGTAAACTGTTCGCTTTACCTAAAGCCAGGAGAAGTAGTTCATGTAAATGATTCAGTGGAATTCCATCACAGTGGATTAATGCAGACCTTTGAAAGAACATCAGATTCTAACTAAGGACCTCTTTGGTCTTTCATCCCATCAATCTTATTTATAGTATTATATTTACGCACAAGTGTTCACTTCTAAAAAGAAAGTTAGGAAAAGGAAAGCAGTTTGCTACTTTTGTCAGATCTTGCAATTTTACTGCAAGAGATGAAGACCAAGGAGGAGATCGAATTAGTATATCAATAACAGGAAGCAAATGGTAGGAATCCACCAAATCTACCTGAATGGCTGCCAGGTTCTTCTGTTCCTGTGATGGAGCCTCATGGACAAAACGCAGCCAATTAGAATGGCGTGGATTGCTTGCATCCAGGATATAAAGGACCTCACCTTTACTCCCACGAACCTGAAACAAACAAACAAAAACAAAAAAATTAAGCAAAATTAATCTTAACGGTTGCTCAATCAACTCCCAACCTTAACTATCAGTTCTGTCTCTATTCCCATCCCCCTACTCCATCACTAAATCCTCCTTTTGCTTCTTTATCACCAAATATCTTTCCTCCTTCATTCAAATTCCAAATCCAGTATATATGCTTTCATTATTGTTAACTCTTCCTGCCCTGCACCAATCTTAAATATCCCAGAAAATTATAAAACCCTTATTGAAAACCATGTTCCTCATTTCCCTTTCACGTCTTCTATAGGTTTGATTTCTTGAGTTTGGTTGTGGATTTGGGTTTTTTTTTTTCCTTTAGCAAGGGCAAAATCCATCTTGCCCTTCGATGGACATCTATCTTCAGATCAAGGACCAATATAATTGCATTTCTTCATTCCATATATCCTATTTTACAGTTCACTTGAACATCTTTTACGTATGCCTCTCTAAAGGAAATTTAAATATGTAGCCTCAATGAAAAGCAGTCAGTCTTAAACTATGCTTGGCTGAAATTCTATCAGAATAGGAGATTATTTCAGTAAACAAATTAGTATACTATGTAGGTGAAGCACTGTAAATTATTTCGTAGAAGAAACAAACATGTTCAGATTTTGTCAACAAAGTGAAGAAGCCACTTAAAAACAAAGCATCGTGCACACAAGATACATCATCTCTGTATCAGGAGCTTTTGCCTATCATTACAGATCCACAGAATTTCTATGATTGTGACAAAATTCCAGCTTACGCTGAAAAAATGAAAATAATAGAAACAGAAACTTGTAAGAATTACATGGACATCAAGTAATTCTTCCCCCTCGAAACACAAAGACGTACAAGTGAAAAAATACAGATGCCACTGCCATATAAAAAATACTTTGTTTAAATAACAGATCACTTGAATTTCCACTCCTACAATAGATAGAGCGCCATGCAAAAAGGTCATACAGCCACACTATTATTCCATGTGATTTATTTATATAATGAACATATTTTCTTTTTCATCTGTCAACAAGAAGTATCCAGAGCAAGTATTTCCTAAGAGCTAAGGATTTCAGCTATGTAAGATCAAAATTAATTGTCTTCATGACTTTGTATTTAAATTGCTCACATTCTTGCTATATTTGTTTCTAATAGATGCAATATCATATTTCTTCAGTATGACTGCTTAAGTTACCTAAACATTTAGGATATCATTAGAAAGAAAAAACTATTCCATTACAATAATAGCTGGTGGCAGCATGTTGTTCTCTGACTAAAACAAAACAGAAAAAAACCTACTGTAGTTCTGCAAACAAACAAAAGTCTTCAAAATTTATTACTGTTCTTCCAAAGGAAAACATCATACCTTAAGAAGGACACATCATTAAAAAGTGCCAATATTTCAAACTTTAAAAACTGTTTTACTTTCAAACACAGATTAACCACAGTAAGCAGTTTAAAACCCACATATTTAAATGCACCTGGAAACAATATTATCTAACACTAAGCACTGCAATGGGATTCCCAGACAGGTTGTGTAGTTTCCATCCTCACAGATGTAGATACTCAAAAGCTGTCATGGGCAGCTGGCACTAGGTAACCCTGCCTGAGCAGGAGGGTAGGACCAGGTGACCTCCAGAGGTGCCATCCAACCTCAGCCATTCTGTGACCATCACCTTGGGAATCCATGCCTGCTTATTATGTGAACCTTTGTTTTCATTAGGAACATGGGCAGAATGAGAGCAATCAAACCATAAAAGCAAGCTCCAAATTTACACAAAAAATACACGCTAATGGTGTATTCACCTCCTGAAAAGCCACCTGCCAAGAAGAAGTGCTGCACTGATTATATGGTAATAATCATCCAGTTCTAAATAGGTAATAGGTAAAAAGAACTTCACTTTGAGTAAAAATGGTTAACACTGAAGACTGGCATCCTCAAGTGATTAAAGTCACGCTAATGGCTTTGTGATCTAGCTACCAAAGTATGGGTTATAGAAGCCTACCATGTAGGTCCTATTAAGGTTTCCATTAGATCTTGTGTTGGAAAGAGAAGCAATCAAAATCCTATTATAAAAACCATATGTTACACCATCTACCTTTTCATGCATTCTTCTTCATTTGCTTGATCCTTAAATTATATAAGAATAACTTATATTCATTTCAATGATACATGATCATCTCTGTTATGCTTTCTCAGTCTCTGCCAATCCATAAAGAGATACCAAACACAAAGGAGAGACTTAACACATAAGGAAACTATTGATAAAAGAATATGATAAATCCCTTAAAGACATGCTATATTTTCTATTGCTTTGTTTCACCTCGTAAAGAAATAATGCTGCATCAAATACACAGATGGGAGGAAGAAAAGTCAAAAAAACCCAGTCAAAACACTGTACTTAACACAGACTAGACTGGTGACATTTACCACTCCATTCCTCACTTGTCACATGGATAGGTGAGTTTCCTAAATGAACAACCAATCTCTGAGTAACATGGCAGTGAACCCCAAACTTAATCAATATTTAAAATAAATGAACAGTTCTTGCTTTGCAAATATATTTCTCAAACTCAAAGCCAGTACATGCTGATTATGGTAGTTAAATGAAATAAACAGCTAGGATCTACATTTCCAGTTTAAAATAAGTGTATCTAAATATCACCCATATTGATTTACTAATGAATCAAAATGAAGTTTGGAATATGTCCCAAAGGGTGCTCCCTCCAATTAACAGTCCACTGAAGTCCTTAGTCATCCTTCTGCTTTGTGGTATGATCACCAAACAAGAGAATCAGTTTAATTACAAGATGTATCAACAAATACAACCTAAAATGCTTACACCTGGGTCGCTCACTACAATCAAACACCTAAAAAGCATGCACATATCCAAAAAAAAATGCACCAGACAGTAAGAGCACCTCAGATTGAGGTGTCTAAGAATTATCTTGAGAATCAACACAAAAGGTGTCACAACTAATTTAGTCAAATGTCCTCACAGTACGATGAAATACCTGACATTCACTGTTACAAAACAGGGGGTTTTACCTCGAGATCAATCAGGACATCATTGAATTATGCCACTTCAACACACACCGTGTAACTAGACAAGTATGCATTAAAAAAATGCGCCCCTACTCATTGCGTAAGCTACCATATGAAACCCTACACAGGCCTAAATAGTGTCTAAGCTGCTCGTAACGCCCATCAACAACATGCACTACTCCATCTGCTAGCCTTTTATGCTGCAATGAAATTATCTCCAGATTTTCAAAATACATTTGAAGTTGTCATGTATGCTACTTCAAAATGCTCATGAGTGCAATTGCAAATGCTCTACCATGCACACCTGGCAAAAGAAGAAAAAACAAACTTCACTGAAAATAAGCAGATGGTTATCTGTGCTGAAGGCAGTAAACACACCGTCTGCTTTCTGGAAACCATTTTCTAAACATTTATAAATCTAAAAAACTATGTTCATTCAAACAGTCATGTAAAGAAGAGTATTGTTTTCTGCACTGTAATTTTTTGAATAGCTGAAAACATGATTTTTAGTATTGATCATATTAAAAAAACTAGATGCAATACTTCTGCATCCTGAGTTTCAGACCTCTGTTACAGAGCTCACTGCAGAGTAGAAACTTGTATTTTAACATTGCTGTAGAAAGTATTAAGACAAAACTTGCAAAAGAAACCTGAGGCAGCAACTGTTGATTTGATTACTAAGTACTGGGACATAGCATGTTTTTCTTCAGCCAAAATATAGAACAACAGTTTTTCATACTAATGAAGCTCCTGCTGCTGCATGTTATTTGACCTTGTCAGAGACAGAACGGTTCAGAAAGCTCATTCCTAGGCTTCTGCTAACATTTTGCAGAGCTTTCACAACAAGGGTTGAACTTCACGGTCACCAGAAGAATACCCAAATCTCCTTAAACAAGTTGTGTTTGATCTTCTGTAACACGTTCAGAGTAGAATACTAGCACCTCAACCTATCAACACATACTTTCTAATATCTTAAATAAATCATGTAGGTGAAGATGTGAGGCTAACGTTCTCAGTCACTCAGACACTTACCTATCCCAGTGGGGATTAATTTAACAATATTAAAAATCTAGGATGAAAACTTGCAACTGAGATACGGCATCAATGTCTGACTGTTATGTGCGGAAAAATTTATTTTAAATGCAACTTGCATAAAAATGCATCCAGATGCATTTCTCTAAGAAATGAGAAAAAAACATTTCTGAAAATTAAACAAGATTCAAACAAAAACATTAAAAGCAAATAATTTTAAATGTAAATATATCTGAGGAGTAATGACTGGGAAGGTAGTCTTCATACAGAAAAAATAAAGACTACATTGCTAAGAACTAGATTTCTAATATTACATTCATCTTGAGCAAACACAGAATTCTTGAAATTAAGATTTATTTTATCATGAAACTGAGGACATAATTCGACTTAATGCCTTTAATGTAAAAGCCTTCCTATGCCAGAACCACATTTTACAGGCAAGATATCAAAGAAAAAAGAAGAAAAAACCCCAAAACGGAACACACCACCATTAGCTTTAAGCACTTGACTTCTCATACCTCAATCCTAAACATTAAAACTCTGATCTAAAGGTTGTTGTAGCCAATAGCAGATTTTCTATTGCCTTCACTAGTTTTCAGGCAGGCTTATTTAACTGAAAACAATTGTCACTGAAAAAATGGTGAGATTTAAGTAGTAGAAACATAAGTTCATTTCATCTTCTCATATAAACAAACACGAACATTAGCTGCCATTAAAAGACTGATTTCCAGCATGTTTCTGTTCTTCTCTGTTTTAATATAACTATGAAGAAAACATAACCTTGGCAGATAGACAGAAACCAAACCTAAAACACATAACATTCAACATTACACAGCGTATTATGTGCCATCCAATCCTGACCAACATTTCTTCATAGTATGTCAGAGTATTTGAAGAAGGACTAAGTCTTTCCAGCCCTCCCTGTTTTAACATTTGCCAAAGTCATCACCAGAACTATACGCTTGCCACAATCCAATAGTAGTGAAACGAATGCCACTCTCTTGGTTAGGGACAATAAAGAAAATAAACTGAACAGATATCTTGCCTTTGCAAAGGGACATCTGAGCTTCCAGAGGCAAAAGCTTCTGTGAACTTCAATACCTAAAGATTATGCTGTTCTTGCCTTAAAGCACTTGCTCTTCCAGCAAATACAAGTAATTTAAAATTGCTATGCCAAGTATACTAATACAGACCAACCAAGCAATATTTAATCAAGGTGTTAGTGGGATGCTAAGAACAAAACTCTCAATTCATCACCAGCAACTAGCTGCATACTTAACTAGCACAAAAACACAAAGCCATTTGGACATTTTTTTGGCTTTTATTATTACTCCTAACTATACGGTTACCACAGGTTTGGGGTTTTTGTTTCACATCACTTGTAAATGAAACAGTTCCGCATATAGCTCTTTACAAAGATAACTGCAAGATCAAGGATGCTTCCCCCAACCCCAATCTTCTGGAATCTGTTGAATGAGCAGATGTAAACCTTTGATTTCTTCAAAACCGTGCAAGTTACACACCGACTAATAGCATTCTGCTGTATTTAATTTAAACACAACATCCTCAGAACTTTATTTAACAAAATCACTGGACCAAATAAATTATTTTGGCTTCCATGTTTTCCCAAAGACCAAAAGAAAACATAATGTGTATAACTCTGTCTCAATGTGACACCTTAAAGATGCCATCTCACAATGCTGGTCTCGGAGAAAAAGAAGTAGCTTGATCAAAACAGACCACATCACAGATCACAACTCTACACAACTAGAAATGCATGTGGTAAACTTCCTCACAGAACACTATTCCATAAAATTGAAGCTCAGATCCCAGGCATCTCATAGCAAGAAAAGAAATGTTGCACTCATGTTCAATTTTACTTGACTTAATAAAAAGCCTCCACTACTTAGCCTTCTTTCTAAAAGTGTTCTCACTGAAAACGCATTTTTTTGACTGCCATCAGACTGTGAGGTCAGGCTTTAGTGTGTCTTCATATTAATTATTTTGAATATCTTTGTTACAGTTGACTACACACAAACCTGGCTAGTTGCTGTGACTGCCTCCCACAGTATCTGGAATAACAATCTACTTGGACTGTTCAACTTCTTTCTTTCTGCATTCCTGGTCTCTATTTTCAACTTAAGACTACTCTCAGCATGATTTAAATTATATTATAAAGCTCACGTTCAGATCAACTTCAGTAAACATGAACAACTTTGGTTCAAACATTCAGGAAGTCATAAAATTTGGTATGCAGGAATCTTTTCAAGGCTCTCAAAACTAGGTTACAATAAGATATTATGAAATGGTTTCACAACAGCTCATAAAAAAATCATCTTCTGATTTGCTGTTGATGGGGTCATATTAGTGTCATCAGTAAATACATGTATTTGCCTTTTATTTTCCATTTTACAGAAACAGATAAATCTCATGTAATCATCAGCAATGAGGCATCTGGAAAATCATATGGCTTGCCAACAAACTTAAAGACCTTCTCATTGCTATAATCCACCCACCATCCCCTCTAAAACCTTGTTCTACCACAAGTGTTTTATTGATTTAAAATAACCTGCAGAAACATCATGAAAAGGCAAGTGAGCCAGGACACATGAACATGTAGCGTATTCAGCAAACATTTGTAATAAAAGGACATTGTGTTGTTTTGTTTTCAGCTGAGAACAAAGAAGATGAAACCAGTTGCTCCGCTCCAAGTACGTAACCAAAGGAGAGAGGGGAACGAATTGTCCACACCTCCTCTCTGGGAAAGGATATTTTGGGCACACCCACAGATTAAAAAAGAAAGAAAAAAAGGAAAGGGGAAGAGGGAAAACAAAGGCACAGGGATTCAGAAACTTGAGTTAACACTCATCTAGGAATATTTTGCCACTCACTGTATTTATATTGAGTTTGGGTTTAATGAGATGGGCTTTTAGCATTCTCTCACTCGTTGTTCCAGTGTGAAGAATATATTTATAGCTCTGCTAAGACCATATCAACACTACGCTCTCTTTATAAGCCGCTAAGCGATGCTAATGCTAGAGGTTTTTTCAAACAAACATTTATTTTGTAATAAATGCACAAATAGTGCTTTAAGCCGGATGTCAAACAAGCTTTTTTTGTACAGTGCCACACAACATAAAAGTAACAGTCATCCTACCACCTCTAACCATGGAAAGGTGAAAAAGTAGGAAATTAGTCCCCTTCTCAGTGTAAAACAAGACTAAATATGCATGCGTTAAAAATTGCTTGGCTGGGGGAAAAAGGAAAAAAAAAAAGGAAAGGAATTCTGCTCAAAGAACTACAGCAGAAAAGAACGATTACAAAGACAGAAGCACTGAAAAGCAAGTGTTTATAACAAGTTGGAAATGTTGTTACTGCAAGTATTTTTCAGTTAGTGTAATCTCCTCAACTGGTAAACTCAGATTTTTGCTACAGGCAAACACAGCTGTGACAGGAACTACGAAGGCTTAAAGACCTAATTACAAGATCTAGTGTATAAACTACTGTTGCTGCCTAGTATGTATAAAAAAGTTTAAAAGAGCCCTAAAACTCATTATGCCTTCATCTGCCCACAGCACCCGGGTTTTATTTTGCTAAAGATCTCACAAGTACACATTGCATTACAAAGTTGCTAAAATTTAAAAACTTCATTTATCATATAATTTTTCAAATTCCAGCACAAGTGTCACAGCAGGAAATGTTTTATATTACAGTTGGAGGAAGCTATGAGCCGACACCTGTTGATCAGCATAAATCACTCAGTAACGTACAATCATCTTCCCATATTCAAATTACTTTAAATTTTTATTTTCACATTTTTCAGTAATTTTTCCACAATGTTGTTAGTTTCTAATCAATGAAGTGTGAAATACATCAACTTGAAAGATAAAAATCTATCATTTGCTATTTAACTTTTTAAAGAAGTCAATCCCCTGCTGCCCAAAAAGCATATTTTAAAAGCATCAATAACTACAAAATGTTACTACAGTATCTTTAAGCTGGAGGGGGAGGATTTGTTACTGTTTTGAGTACATTTTTTGCTTGATGTGATGATGTCACTCTAGACTACTCACTTCCCACATGAGCCTGCAGTCTGTGTCCTCATCCAGTTCCTGCGGCATTCGCTTCTCCCCTGCAAAGGGGCCAAATTTTTCACCCTAAGGAATAATTAATAAAGAAAAAGAATCAGTGGGGAAAAAAAATTAAAAAGGCAAGTGAATTACCAAACTCCAGCAGAGGTATCATTTTTAGCTTCAAATGGAAAAGGACAGTTTTCCTTGTCATCCTACTATAAGCCAGGAAGGTGCACATCCTCGCAGGTTGAACTTCAAGCTCATTCCCATTCTTTTCATAGCTTAGAGAATCTCTCAAAACCATGCTTTACACCTTTACATGCTTATTTCCTCTTTGGGAAACACCATTTTTCTTTATTTGCAATAAGGCTGAAATTTACAAGTCAAATGTCTTATATTTCTTATAAGATTTTCAGGAAGCACCTTGCAATAGACATCCAACCAAAATGTAAAGTATTTGGCAAGCACAAAGTTTACATTAGATTTATTTGCAAGATTATTTGCAACACTACTTTTTGAAGTGCCACAAGTCAAAACATTGAATAACTGAGGTTTTAAACATACAGAGAGATTCATTTAAAAATATTGGGAGTATGCAAGTGTGTATGAATTAATTCAAGTCTTCATAAACAAAATTAAAATGTTATACCACCTGCTAGTCTAACACATGCTGTGAAAGAATCCATTGATATGTTCTTCTAAAAGTTTTGGGTATAATGAAAAGCAACTTTGGTGTTTCTTTCAAACTAACAGTATTTTGGCAAATAAAAGTATCTATCTTGTCCACATGTCCCTTCCCCTAGGCACATTCCATGATCCCAGAAACAGTCTGCTACATGTTCTCCCTCTTAGTTTTTACAGACTGTCTACAGGTAGAGTGCAGAGTAAGAAGTAGAACGGAAAACTTCCAGGATCATTCCTCCCAGAAACAACCAACCAAATAAAAAAATCCTGGTGTTTCAAATTAAACCTGAAGAGGTAATAAACAAAGGAAAAGAAAATTGGCATTGCATGACAAGACAACAGAATTGAGGAGCTGTATTTTAAAATGTGCACAATGAAGATTTCATTAGAAAGAAGTGCAAAGCAGAAAGTAAAAATACAAGAACAGCAGAAAACAACTGAAGCCCAGAGCAGTAACCAAGCTACAAATATGGGCAGTGATAACAAAAACTGGCACTATGGGGCTTAATCTTCTTTACTTCTCACTGATCTCCATACCACCCTTCATCATTTTACTAAATAAATGAGGTCAGGGTTCCAGCCCTGCCAAATTTACAAATCCTGGGATTTAATACTCAAACTGAAATTTCCTTCATCAGCAATGAAGGTGAAAATAGGTCAATGCAGTTCTGTGAGCAGCCATCAATGTTCTCACCTTATGCTGGGTGCCACCCCTGCAAACATACTGCTGTCTAATAGGGGCCATGCAGATATTACATGGGAGGCAATTTGCTTAGATTAAGGAGGAAGAAGAGTCAAGATGGTGGCAGAGGAAATCTGCTCTGGAAATGTATGGTCCTACCTAGCTCAATACAGATAAGGTAGGCCCCTTCTGGAGCAGACACTTCCTGCCAGGCTGAACTAGCTTCTCCCATTCACGTAGAAAGCAACAAGTAGTTTTGGTGCAACAAGCAAAGCAGCTCACTACAATGGCTGAGTTCTAAGAGAGGGCATAACTGTATCTGCAGAATCTCTCATTACTCACAGCAATTATCAAGATGAAAAGAAGCTTATTGGACTATAATCTAGATTAGTTCTATAAAAAGAAAACACACCCTCCATAAATTTAAAATGGAAATTATTTTAAGATAGAATTAATAAGGAACCTGAAAAAAATTAGTTTCCCATCCTCACTTTAGTGGCAGAATAACACTTTTGAAGAGGATATAAAAAGATTAATTTCCTCCTTAACTACTTTGGAGGTTTCCACAACCCTCACCTCAGTAATACTTTCATCCTTGCAATCCAAAGGAACCCTAGATACCTTATAAAGCACCTACAGGGTTAATTTTACCCATCACTGAAGCACACATCACCTCTGGGATGAAGCACAGCAACAACTTAATACTGCATATTGACTCAAAACAAGAAACACCATACATCATTCCTACCTCAGCTACTCCAAACCAATAAACCTCTACTGCAATATATTTAAGACCTTCTAGAAGCTAAAAACAATAGCAAAAGGCAAGAGGTCCACCTCTAAATGTAAAGTAAATGTAACATGAACAGTAGGTGATTCAGACTTCTAAGCACTTTTTATAGCTTCTCAAATGTGTAGAGAAAGCAGAAATTAGAGACAGCAAAACCTGATGTCTTGGAACACAAAGGTCCATGGGGATAAGTCTAATTATTCATTTAGCATTTCAGAGCATTTTCTTATTATTATAAGGAATATATTTATTAGTATTAGTTAATAAATATGCTGTCATATGCCAATATATATCGATCAAAAATATACAAAGACTTCAGCTTCCTCTCTGATCAATAAAAGTGAGGCATACAACACAGTCTAAAGTCAACCACAGAAATTATATGAAAGGCACATCATTCAAATGTTGAAAAAGCTATTTCCAACAGTTGCTTTCAAGAGAGCACAAGTGACTAATCTTTCAGTCGCAGCAAAACACTGAGAAATGTAGTGGCTCCCCGATGATTATACCAAGGGCCTTAAAATACTGGTGCTGTAACCAAAGGCCAGCTGTTCAAGAAATGAAATTACAAGAGAATCACAGTTTCTGTTAAGGTAACAAAACAAAAAGTTTCCACCTTTTATGATTACTGAAAAAAGCTTGAAAGCACAGCCTGAAGGCGCAAAGGCAGATGGCAGACAACAGCAATTAAAAATGTATTATTACCAAAAACTTTGCTAATAGTAGAATTTTCAGAGGCCTGCTGCATGGTTACTTAGAACTTGGAAAGCTGGTAGTGCAATTTCTGATTATAAATCATCTGAAATGTGTTTTACTTTCAGTTAGTACAACTGCAGTTGGGTGACAGCAATAGAGAGAAAATGATGCAGTATTTGCTACTCAGGAATATAAGACCTTCACAATTAAGTGTCATATTCCACACCTCCTGCCACTCCCAAAGCTCCAAGGAATTAATTTAACAGCTATTAGCTACTCTGTATTGTAGCCATTAAGTGTAATACTGCTGCCTCTTTACTGGACAGGAGAACATGTTGAGAGCACCTGAGATGTGATTTTTCCTTCCATAGAAAAGAATAACACACAGTCTGGCTACATCCAACATATCTCTGTTATTTACACATCCACCCTTGTCTGAACAGCTGTAGCAACACACAGTATTTAGGTCTCCAACCATTTTTAGGAATACCTGTTTCAACCACTGCCCACAGAACAACTCAAGAGCTGGTTCCTCAGCCTATCAAAAAGCAAAGTCTTCCTGTCAGACACATACTTTTGATCAGGGCTTTGCATACCACAACCATGTGTGCTACCAGCACAGAGGATTCACTGCCAAACAGAGGACAAGCCTGTAACAAACACTGTCACAAGACACTCCTAATACAAATAAATCTTACTACAATTACCTCTATCTTTACTTTCCGCATTCCACATACATGTCACATTTGCAACATTTCAGTTTTGCTAGGATGCCCTGTATGATGCGCTCACACTGGCAGAGCTGAGCAAGCAGAGCTCTGACAGCATATACTTTGCCTGTATAAAGAGAGTTCAAAAGCAACGTGAAGTAATTCAGGCAAGGAAATGCTCTATTTTTCCTAGCACACAGCTCTGATGGTTCAACTGACAACAGTGTAAAGGAAGGGGCTGACTCTGAACTGACATTCAGAATTTATATTGACGTGTAGATGATGATTTCCATGAGCTTCACTCTAGAGCTCACTTCATTTCAGAGTTCAAGGATTAATATATGCTACTAGTGTACATCCTTCCCTGCTGTGTGAACTCCCAGTTTTCAAACAAAAGTTCATAACTTCAAAGGAAAAAATTTAAGCCATGCGATATGAAGTTGTTTCCCTTCCGTCCCCCATTAACACTCAGGGACACCTTAAAAATGAGAGACCCCCTACTCCATGGTGTCTAAGCCTTGTTGATGAAAACACCGAAAAATTAGGCAGCTCTCTCAACCCACTCGGAGCCAAAACCAGGACAAAAATGCAAAGCAAAACATACAAAATATGTAGAAGTGTACACTAATGCAGAGTTCATAACTTCAGGTATGTCTTTATCTGTTCAAACAAGCCACCTAGTCAGTTATAATTAGGATTTCAAGTAACCAAGAGACTTCCAATTCAGTTACAAGCTGTCAAGGGACACGACCTGGTTGGGGTATGAGAGACCTGCAGTTCAGCTAAATCGTATCTTTCACGGGCCCAGCTTTATCATGCCGAAACGGTGAATTAAATCATCCATCGCACCGAGCTCTAAGAGCAGCAGGGACGACAGGAGCCTGCGACGGACGGGCGGGTACCTCCACCTCAGAGGCGCACCGCGGTCTGAAGCCAGGCGATAATCAAGGCGGCAGTTCTGTCCGGAGGAGCTCTGCCCTCAGAACACTGCCAGAAACACAAAGTTAAAAGAAACGGGGAAAAACAAAATCCCACAGTGAAACCCCTCCGCCGACCTTGCATAGCAGTCGGCGGCCCAG